TTCAAAATATATTGCCACAATAATTGCGTCACATTGAGTCGGAGTGGGACGCTTGACGTGTCGCAATTCGCAATATATTTTAAAACTATTCTACCTAATTAATAAATTGTGATTTTTAAGTATCGAATGAAAACTATATTCTCATTGGTTAAAGATGGAAGTTTTTGTCATTTGAATGTTCAGGAATATTAATTGTGATTAATTGGTTAAATACCGAAGTTATCTGTCATCTGATGTTGGTACTAACCTAATGTTTTTGGGTAATTTTGACGGTCATTTCCTGGAATTTCCAGGCCCGCATAAATATTTATCCTATTAAAGTACAAAAACCCTACAATAGATATTATGAGTAGGTATTTAACATTCATTTATCTTATCTTATCTTAGGTAGTTATTTCCTAGAAACATTTCCCTGATTGTCAATAACACATTACCGTATACCTATCTGTGCCAATATGACGTCACGACTTTTAATATACTTAATGAAGGCTGGGGGAAGGAGTTAAGAGTCTATAAATTTACAAACAAGCTTACGGGTATTTAGTTTTCAAAATTACATCACACGTTTCTGAAGTGTTTTATTGTGCTGTTTGTTTTTAATAAGTGTTATTTTCTTTAATAGAAAATTGATTTATTTGTGCCAAATGACGAATTTGCTACACTAAATCGGTTGGTAAATATAGGCGAATTAATCAGAGCAGTCAGAGCACTGAACGCTAAACTCAAAAATTGCACAACGGGAAGAGAAATAATTGAAACTTACAACGCGTTCATGACGGACGTAGACATTAACTTCAAGCTTTTGAACTAAATCTAACATACAACACAGTAAAATCAGTAACATTCGTTAAATACATTGTAAAATGCTTCTGTGGAAGTTTATGCGACTGCGGAATCGCTTTTTCCCAGATAAACATGGATTTCTGTGTTTCTCGGGGAAATTGGCGGGAGCAGGGGCATGAATGACTACAGAATCGCACTCATTACGGACAAAGATGACAGAAAACAGGATAAAATTTGACGTACATCCTCCTTAACAGCGACGACCCCACTGAATAGTCAAATCACTACGACGATTAGTTACCAACTATAGTCGGACGGAAGACTGCACGGTGACGTCATCGCGAGGTGCAAAATTTCTTGGCTTGCCAGAAGTTTTGTGCCGAGCGGTGGCTTTACTGTGGGGTCTTGTGATTTGACTAATTCATGCACAAAATACCACGCTTCAACACACATTTAGGACAACCCTGTTTTTTCACTTGGTTTTTCAGGGACGACAGACAAAATTAAATTCACACAAAAACTTATTACTATTCCATTACTGATCTGATTAATTAGCCTATATTGATCTATAATGCCGTCATACGGCAAGGAGAGATCGCGAAAATCAAAATTCAAACTAAAAACAATATAAGTATACGGCCACGACATCGGTCATGGCTCCGACTGGGGTCATAGCAGAACTGGAACACTTCCTGGAGCAGCTAAGAAGAAATCCGTCTGCAATTTATGAATATTTATATTGTAATAGACTGTAAATTATTGTAAATATGTAAATAAAGATTTTGAAATGAAATGATGAAGGCTGGGGGAAGGAGTTAAGAGTCTATAAATTTACAAACAAGCTTACGGGTATTTAGTTTTCAAAATTACATCACACGTTTCTGAAGTGTTTTATTGTGCTGTTTGTTTTTAATAAGTGTTATTTTCTTTAATAGAAAATTGATTTATTTGTGCCAAGTGTCCTAGTGAGTTTCATTGTACATTTTAATCAGTTTTATTTTTGGATAAATTGACATCGACTTCCTGCATTAAAGGTAGGTAGTATTTTTTTTCTATCACTCTCGAGTTCGTCGTTGAATAAAAAAATTAAACGCTATAATTTTAACATTCAAATATTTGCAATTAAAAAATAATATTACGTATTAAATTTGACAATAAAAAACTTGTTATTTAATAATAATGTTTCATTATTCTGAATATATTTTTTCTACGATCAATATCCAAAGTAGGTAGGCTTTTGCACATTAAAATCTAAATAAAAAGTTGACGTTTTCTGCGAATTGTCATAATTTGACATTATTGGCGCACATTACCTAATATTCAAACCCATTTCCATGCTTAAAAATAGAAGATGGTGACATTCATTTAAAAGAAAACCATAACTACTTTTACTAGGTGAAAAATTTCAATATGTTAAAATAATTCATGATTTTTAAGAAATGTGCTAGAAATGATACTACAATATTAATATTCTTTTTATGTTTGATTTTCTAATAATGATTTTATATACTTTTAGATTCAAGGATAGCTAGGTATAGCTCAAAGAAAATTGTGCTACTTTGTAGTATATACTGGAGATGAAAATCCACTATTTGTTGAAAAAATTCATTTTCAACCCATTTTTTTTTAAAATATGGTTGAAAAATTAGAAAAATTTTACTCGGAATATATGGCACCTGAGATAATTTTAAATAGAAGAGGACGAGGATTAAAATGTCTGGATACCCCATATAATGAAACTTAAAGTGCAAAGATTAGCAAATTTATAAAAATTATAATTTAATGGACTTTAATGATACAAGTACTTGAAATAATGGTTTTTTTGCGCAGAAGCATGTTCATACGTAATTTGCAATTGGTAATCACTAAACACAGATGGAAAAGTATATACGTCAACGATATCTTCTCTTATTTTTGATTTATTTTAACAGGTATAATATATGGTATGTTACTTATAGTATAGATTTTTTTATTTCTCGACCTTATTTATTTGTTACGTCTTCAGCAATTGTCGCTTTCAGTTGACATAAACGAAATTGATAAAAAGTGTTTTTCGCATTTTATTTTGACTGTTTCTCTTACTTTCGAATAGAAACAGAGCTTTGTAAACATAAAATGACGGATATGTCAAACTAAAACTGACGGTAAAATGAAACATTGAGTATCGTTAAATGCAACTTTTGAACTAGTTTCAAAAATAGCATTAAAATGATATTATCATTCACAATGTACTAATTTCCTATACTTTTAGTTGATAAATAACCGATAATCATACATCATATAACAAATAGGCGCGTGTCAAAAGGTCAGAAAAAAGAGTGCCGATGAAAAAAGGTCGTTTCCAATTGTATCATATAAACAGTATCAGAGGCAGTATTATCATCTCGTATATCCCCCGTAAACACACTTAATATAAACGGAAATAATCAAATACTAGTCAAAATATTATCGATCGGAGCACCATCTTTATTACATTACATGAAGTAATTATTGATTTTTCGGGGTTTATTTAGAGTTAAATTAGACGCCATTTTTGGTCCAAATTCGTTTTGACATGTTTTTTCAAAGTGACTTATAAATTTCAAATCTACACGCTTTGAAAAATATACAATATTTAAATATTCTGAGTGTACCAAATTACAAGTAAAGGTTGAACTTAGGTCGTATTACATTTTTTTTTATTATTTGTTTGACATCGAGGTTAAAATAATTCTAGACGGCACCTTTGAGATGAAATAAAAGGGGGTTATTTTACATGATTGGTTTTTATTGAAAATAATAAATTTATTAATTTTCAATAGTAAGGTGACCTAAGTTAGACCTTTATTTTTAATTTGGCCAAAAATTAGATTTTTAAACACTACATATTCGGAAAACTGTCGATTTAACTTTTGGTCTACACATACAATTTTAATACACAGGGATACCCCGTCCTTAAGAAAACATCAATAACATAACAAAATAAACTAACTATTTAAAGTAAATAAGGGTACTTAGGTAATTATGATATCAATCAAATAACAATAAGATACTAACATTACCGGGATTATCTCACAGAAAACTAGAAAAAAAGATTTAATAAGGGTGAGTTATTAATATCTAATTGATCATTGTTTTTAATTTTTATTTTTTAAAATAAAAGTTTTGTGAAAATCTACCAAATTTGGTTTTACTCATTCAAGATAAAATGGATTTTCATCAAGTAAAGGCCGAAACAATAAATAATAATATTCAGTTGTAGCCAGTTAACGAGCTATAATGATTTTTTTTAAGCCCAAGTAAGACTACAATTAATGCATATGTCTAAATCAAGGCGTATAATAACGTCCAATTTATAATGATTCGATTTCCTTTTAACGAATACTTTCTTGCCTATGATATATATTAAAAGTATTTATAAAATAAATTTATAAAATGAGGTAGGTATCTACGCCTATGGCAGATCAAACAAAATTGTCGGTAAAGGTTCCGAATGAGTTTTTATGTTCTGCAATTGATAATGGAAGAACTATACCTGGCTGTAGAATATTTGAGGATTTGTTTGCGGTTTTTGTCAGCATACATGGATTGAAGACCATCTCCGATTGCTGTGTGCCATTTGTTTGAACTTAACACTATCTCGGTGTACAAGACCTTATCAGTATACACAAGAACTTGACCGTATTATCGGTTTTGTTGTTATCTAGATAGCGGAGCGTTTACTTATTAATATGATGTTTATCATTGGTTGTCGATACTCATACTCTCTTCTGCCTTTTCTCTAAAAAGTCGCGATAGGTACTATTTTGGATAAAGGAACAAAAAAGTAAAAGTAAAACCATAGGCGGATCATAAGGTTTCAGGAATAGGTTCATCAAATATAATTTATTTATGTTAAGAAAATAAAAGCAAATTTGACGCGAACAACCTATTTGGATACAATTGTAAATACATTCTAATCTTATATAAGATTATAATAAAGAAAATAAAATTTAAATGTTATATAGTATCGTGACGGTCCAAAGGATATTAACAGAAAAAACTCGTTTTTCTTTGTGGTCTTTAATAAAATATATGGCATTATATATGGCATTATATAATATCATTTAAACAGAACTATTGTGTATAAAAATGTACTTAATTAAAATGAACCTACAAAATCGCGGTAAAATAATAAATGATTTATAAAAATAACTTATATGTATAAAGAACTTATAAGGGGCGACAACTTGTAAAAAAACTTTATTAGATAAACTAGTTAAATTCTACAATAATTATTTTAATTAAATCACAAAATGAAATTCCAAGGTATACAAACCAATCCATCAGATAAAACTGAATAGTAAGTTGATATATTTAATCGGAGATCTTTGGTATAAGGAGAAATAAAGTTTTTATTATCTAATAATTTGTTGCAACATTTGATCATGAGGTCAGGAGTTATATTGTCCTCTTTGACTAGTATTTCGAGCTGTAATTCTTCCATACACGTTTTCACTAAGGCACGTTCTAAATGTTTGTCACTAAAAAATGATAAAGTTTATAAATTGCATTATTATCATATTAAATCTTAAATAAAAATAAATTTGATACCAAAAATCTATTATAACCAAGTTAAACAATGTTTCCTACTTTGAATCTAACTCTTAAACTAGATGTATAACTACTAAATATAGTGAAAGATGAAATAAATTGACCCTTTATTATTATTACCTTTTGTAATCCGTTATTTTTTGACTAGCATCTTCTAAATTATTAGTTATAAAGTTAACCAAAAGCGATCCTGGTATTGTAGCAGGTACAATAAACTGTCCAGTGGGAGAAACCATAAGAGGTCCAGCTTCACTAAAAATAAAAGCCTTCTTTATAAAACAATATGTAATGTAGAATGGTTGGGGTAATAAGAGGACATATTTTTAACCTGGCTCCTCCATTGGACTGACATCATTGTCGTGACAAACCTAATTAAAAAATATTCCCTTATGTAATTCAAGGAAAGGGATGAAACAAGAAGTTGCAGTTGCCAGGGAGCTTCTAAATAACCCCGACAACACTACAGCAAATAAATATTTGACTATGAGTGGATAGAATCTGCGCCTGACTATAGAAAAAAGATAGGTCTGCAACACACATCAAACTGTCTATTCTGCAGCGTGGAAGACGAATCCGCAGAGCACAATCTACATTATATGAATCTACTCCACTTTAGAAAGATTAGATTCCAGATCTCCAGATTCACCTGACTGGAGCCTAACGGCTTTAAACAGGTTTTACCCAATTCAACCATGGCCTTAATCAAAAGGTGTGGCTTGTATGGTGAACTAGAAGTTAAACAAGAACCACAATCTGGGTAGCAGTGGAAGGCAATGAAATCATCCCACTCATTTTCAACCTAACCTATCAAATTCAATTTGATGATGTATTTGGTAATTGATAGGGAATAAAAGAGGGATAAATGAGACCAAAATACAAGTAAAAATAAGTAAATATTCATTCTTTAAGAACGAGAAAATTTACTTTCCAACGAATAGATTCTAGAATCTTAAATTAGAAATCATAATACAAACAGAAAATGTTTAAAATCTAACATAATAATGTACGTTAGTTATTAATTTGCATAAACATAGCTGTAGTTCATATTGATGCTTTAGCGATGTAAGCTGAAGGTACGGGTTCTATCACAGTCAAGGAAGCTATGAATTCAAAGGAGTCATTGTTCAAAATTAACTTCTGGTAATCGCAGCAACTTTCGATCAGAATTATTTCAAGGAAATCATAGAAAACGAGATGGTTGAACAATATGGAAACGTTAAGTCACTAGTAAATGACATTAAAAAGGCAGTTTCCATACTGGTGGAATGATGATATAGAGAAAAATAGAACAGAATGTATAAAAGCCAGCAGAAAAACAACCAGCCAGATATGGCAACAGGGATGACAGATCGATAGAAGCAAAAGAAGTCTACAACAAATTAACAAAAGAACTTTGAAATATCACAAATAGATCAAAGAAAGCACACTGGAAGAAACTAATAGCAGAACTAAACGATGGCATCTGGGGCGCGGGATACAAAATAGCTATAAAACAAATCAGCAAGTTTAGTACGCCTTAAAATCCAACGAAGGATCAGAAGATAGAATGGTGTAAACAACTGTTTCCAATCTCTGAGGACAAAACAAATAGATGGAGTGAAGTATCTAGCGACTCACTATGAACTAATAGAAGCCACTACCTCTATAAAACTTAAACAGAACCAGGACCTGATAAAATTCCCATGGAAGCCATAAATATATTAGTCGAAAAGAAATCGCAACCATTATAGATATTTTCAATAAGCTACTCAGAGGGCAACAATTAATAAAGATCTGGAAAGAGGCACGAGTTGTGCTAATTTGGAAGGACTAAGGACTAGATCTCCAGGTTGCTGCCTAATACCGAACGATTTGCCTTCTAAGTATAATGGGCAAGCTGTTCGAGAATCTAATAAAAAACAACCTTGAAAAGGAAATAGAAGCGAAAGGAGATTTCTCACCAAGACAATACGGGTTCTGGAAAAAGAGATCGACCATACAAGCTGTCGAAACTATAGTGGAAAAAACAAAGAGATCAAATAGTAAATAGATGATAATAATAACGATCGACATTAAAAACGCATTCAATACGGTATCTTGGGAACAAATCATGAAAGCACTGGAGCAAAAAGAAATCTCACAATACCTACTAACTAAGTAATCGAAGCATAAGTGTGAGACATGAGAGCCTACAAATAAACACTGGAGTACCGCAAGGGTCGTTCGTCGGACCAACATTATGGAACGTACTTTATGACGGAATTTTGAATTTAAAACTGCCCGAAGGTGTGACTACAGTAGCCTACGCTGATGACCTCGCCAATTAATAGAAGTCAGGGACCTGGAAACGCTTAACTATGCGATAAAAGAGTCACTTTATATGATCGAACTCTGGATAAGTATACATCAACTAACTCTCGCACCAGAAAAGACCAAAGCTGTGGTACTCAAGAGCCCCACGAAACAGGGATGAAGTTCAAAAAAGAGTAACGGACAAGGACATTACCCCTAAAAAAACAACTAAAATATCTTGGAATAGTTTTGGATAAGAGAATGAGCTTCGGATCACACATAAAATATATAAAGGAGAAAGTTTAGAAAACGCTAGGGGCTTTAACGAGATTAATGACAAACATTGACGGTCCAGGAAGTAGCATACGCGCCGCATTATTCCGAGTAGTCCAGTCAGTGATAATGTACAGCGCTCCAATCTGGCAAAAAAACTATGGAAATAGGGAAGAATCGGAAAATACTGGTTGGCACCCAAAAACGAGCATTGATCGGGGTAATAAGCGGATATAGAACGATATCAACGGCAGCCACGCAGGTAATAGCGGGGATACCACCGATTGTATTGTTAGTAGATGAAAGATACAGATTGTACAAAAGAGAAGACGGGCATCTACCACGTACAAAAAACACGGAAAGAGACACTTCTATGGAAAGATGGCAGAAGGAATAGAACCTGAACCAAGATACAGCAGTGTGGACCAAAACACTAATAAAAGATATAAAATATGAAACTGTCAACATCGGAAAACGATTTACTGTCTAACCAAGTGGCGCAGCCACGGAGATTTTGGAGGTCAGAACCTTCCATGGAGGGTCCTCGCGTCACCGTTTCCGCTATTGTATTGGCGCTGATGGCTATTGCCTTTTTTTTCACTTTCTCGATGGAAACCCCCCCCATAATTCTCCGAACCCCCTCCCATGAAAAATAGCTGGCTACGCCACTGTAATCTAACCCAATTTGTCGGGCCACGGGAGATTTGCGAGTTACACCGAGAAGATGAAAATTACAGCCAGCAATGCATGCAAATATTGTCAATAGCCAGATACCCCTAAGCATACTGCATTTTTATGCAACAAATGGAACACAGAAAGACTGCGCCTTGAAATCGGCATAGGTAGAGAAATAAATGAAGACAATTTAGTGGCCGCGATTCGAGCAAACAGAACTGGGATATATCAGAAACCTTCCCAAAATCCTTGGAAAAAAGGAGACAGAGGATAGAACACGGAAGAAGAAAACGCTCTCCTCAGATTCCGACGAAATTCCAAACCAGGAAGCTATCGGAATCTTATTTATTTAATTTGTTTACAGTACGCTACAGATACATAAAGTTCTAAATGGTACATTTAAAATATAAATTAAAATAAAAATAAAAAAGAAATTAATAAAATTGGCACAGTATAAAAATGAAGTTAATAGTGTAATGAAAGTTGACGCTTTAAAGAAAATAAACCTGTATTAAAAATCTCATAATTTGAAAAATACTCATTGTAATTGGACATCAGTCGGTCTACAAAAAAAATTCTGTCCATAGTTAGTTCTATGAGTATTTACATAAAATAGTTTAATTTGCCTAGTGAGTCTGGCAGGAACAAGGAATCTAATAAAATGTACCAGGCTGTCACTATCAATTAAACCGTTCAATAACTTATACAAGAAAACAAGTGATGCTTCTCGACGTCTAAATAATTTTATTTACAACCATATATGTAATGTTGTCATTACTAACGTCATTGAAGGTTGGGAAGTGTCACATTACACACCTCTACTTCCCGCCCTCACTTCCCGCCCTCATTTCATCTCTTCTAGATGAATATTTTTTATGTTTAAAAAAAATAGCACAGTGTTTGACAAAGTTTATAATACCTATTTAATGACAAACAAAAAACAACAATGATCTAAAACATAACAAACTACTTATTGATATTTATTATTCGCGAATTTAATATCCGGCTTTATATGACATTTATTTATATTGGTGACAGTTGTTTACCCCGTAATCACAGTAACAATATATTTACCTACTTGATTATTCTGAGAAAACCGTGCGCTTGGTAATTTGTCGTTAAATGTAATATTTTAGGTATGTTCAGAACAAAACAGAAATTCATTAACTTTGATCGAAATATGATGGTTGTAAATAAAATAGTATACAAACCTCGGTAGGAAGTTTCATTCCTGTCTCGAGATCATAGCTAATATCGACGCTTCGCGTCTCGGTGATCTAACTAATCTCACGACAGGAATGAAACTCTTCCCATCTCGGTGTGTAATATACTATTAATCTTTAAAAGTTTTTTTTTTATTATTAACATTGAGAATACCTAGTAAGACTAACGAAAGAATTTAGTGGCAAAATATTCCCCAGAATAGTTCGAAAACATTCACGCATATAAGCCGTGACGAAAACTTCCTTATCGGATAAGAGTAAATCAATGGTAGAGTTCCAGTAGCCTTATTAAACCGCTCTAAACCCGACAAGATCCAACTTAGGGTAGAAAATATAAGTAAGTAACCATTTTCAGTAATAAGCAGGGTTCGAAAATATCATGATATTTATATAAATATCATATCACATGATATATATCATTTTTAAAATTTAAAAAACAGTACTGTTTCTTGCACAAACAATGAAACAAATTGAAATATTAATTTGAAAGTAGAAAATTATCAAGGTCGTTTTTGAAAACATTTACAACATTTCGTTCATTGTATGGTTAGCTTAGACATAAGTCCATATGTTCCCTGTTGTAATAGAAGTAAAGTGCGTTTGTAAATGAGAAAGACAAAACTATTAAAAATGTCACATGTTACTGCAGGTATACATATAAATTGGTGAAATGGTCTAACCTTTATTATACTCACGTTTCAACTACAATCTCAAAACCTTCCAAAGTTAAAGGCCATTCTTTTGGAAATGGTTTTCCACCCACATAATCACTTAACGAAGTTGTTATTTGCCTAAGATTTTGTTCATATTGACCAGCTACTATTTTTGGCATAAACTTTCTAAAAATTAAAGAATAGTAATAAACAGATCTCTAATCTGTAAGTTTTTGTTCGTACCTACGACCAACTTTGATTTTTCTTAAAACATGAGACAAAGATTTTTCAAAAGCTGGTATTCTCCTTAAAGCCGCATCGTATCTGTCGATATTTTGGATAAACTAAAAATAAATTTATATGTGAACAGAAGACGAGAAAATATAGATATTTTTTACATCTAACCAGTTATGCCGCACTTCGCCGCTGTTGAGCATGATGTGGCCATCTAAACTAACACCAGTGAAAAAAGATGTAAATACTAGAATTCTCCCTAAAATAAATAATAAAGAAAATAAGTTTTTACAGGTTATTCTTCTACAGGGTGATTTTTTGAAAAGGATCCATCCTCGATAACTTCGTTCTCGTCTTGATTCAGGTAAAATCCAAAAACAGGTAAATTTTTATCCTTAGGGGGACCCATTTTTAGATCACAACTGATTTTGTCGGATCAACCACATGGCCCCACCAGCCCCCACCTCAATAACCTTCAATAGCAAGGGGGGCCGAGTGACCCCTCGTTGGAAAGGTTTTTGCATTTACCATACGACCATGTAAGAATTATTTTGTTTTGTACAGGGTGGTTCAAGAAAAAAGACAAATTGCAATAAATAGATTTACATTTCGCTTTAATTGGTTAATTTTTGGAATAAAAATCGTATTAATTGTTTACAAAACGAGAAGAAACGGATTAGAGTGAAAATAAGCAAAATCACAACAAGTGCTCAAAATGACCACCGTTATTCTCCATGCAGTAGTAAAGGCGGTTTTCAAATTCCTCTCTCACCCGTTGAAAGGTTTCTCTAGGGATTCTTCTGCATGTGTCAGTTATTCGTTGTCGCAACTCCACTAAATCTGCTGGTTGAGTTTTGAAGACAACATATTTTAGGTGCCCCAGAGGAAAAAATCTGGTCCTGTCAAATCTGGTGGCCGTGGAGGCCATTCTATTGCTCCCCGCCTGCCAATCCAATGATGCGGAAATCTCTGATTCAGCCAGTTCCGAACATTCACAGCGAAGTGAGGTGGGACTCCATCTTACTGAAAAAAAAAGCTCATTTTCTTCAAGTACAAGATTTCCATCTTGATCCCGCTGATTTTAAACTTCAACCGTTATCAAGGGATCTATGATATCCTCAAGCAGCTCTAAATATACCCCGCCAGTCAAAGTCTCATTAATGAAAATCGGACCGACTACCGCATCGCCTAGTATTCGCCCATACATTTAATTTCTGAGGAGCTTGAGTATGCCCCTCTAAAAATGTGAGGATTCTCATCACTCCAATATCGGACAGTCTGTTTATTGACTGCGCCATGCAGATAAAAACTACATTCGTCACTAAAGCAAATGTTTTTTATGAGGTTTGGGTTTGCGTTTATCATTTCCGTCATAATTTCGCAAAACTGTAATCTCCTATCAGGATCATCGTCCACAAGCTCCTGAAGTATCTTCATTTTATAGGGATGGAATTTAAAAAGTTTTGTCACTTTGCATACCGATGAATACGAAAGTCCAGTGGTCGTAGCAATCTGACGCAAAGAACTGGTTGGATCGAAAGTAAAGTTCCCCACCACTTCAATCTGAGCCATTTCATTAACTATTCTGTTACCTTCTCTCTTCATATTTTTCACCGATCCTGTTGCTTGAAACTTCCGCACAAGTTGCGTGACATATTTGTGCTCCATTCGCTTATCTGGATGTCTCGCATTAAAAACTCTGGCAGTGGCGCGGGCACATTTCTGCTCCACGCCATAAATGAAAATAACTTCTACCCGCTCGGCAATAGTGTAAAACATTTTACAGGGAATAAATCAATTGACATATCAATTGACATACCAACTGACTGCAAACTACTTGGATTAAATCTAATCCGTCAAAACGGCTTGTAAAGATGCGCAAAAAATTGCAGATAAAAATGCATACAAAAAGAGCGACAGCGCGATATCACTCATCAACCGTCTTCAAAAACTGAAGCAAAAAATTTAAGTGAATTTACGACAGAAGATAAATTGTTGAATGAGGAAGGATTCCTATTATTCTCAACGGTGGTCATTTTAAGAATCTATTATGATGTATGTAATTTAATTCTATTTATTGCAATTTGTCTTTTTTCTTGAACCACCCTGTACAAAACGAAATAATTCTTACATGGTCGTATGGTAAATGCAAAAACCTGCATTCAACAAATCTTATAGAATTTACAAAAGAACCAAATAGTTCTGTAATTCTGCGCCCATTTTGTGTTTATTACTGTTGAAAGAATGTTCCGGAAATGTTCTTAGCTAATATTCTATTTTATAAATTTTGTTCTGTAAACATTTTTTCAGCTTTTATAAAATATCAAATTGTTACTTGGGGGGCCATGCGTACTATATCAACTGCAGCATTGGAGGTATAGTTGCCTCCAACTTCGGTGGGAAAATGTACACTAAGAAAGATAGAAGGTATGTTTGGCAACATTGTTAAAAGGGCCTGGTAAGTGGTTGTAAACAGGGCCAGTTTTACCTAACATGAGGCCCTAGGCGCCAGACCATTTTGAGGCCCTTTGTTAGACATCCATTTTATAATATTACTAAATAAACTATAGAGTTACCAGGGTTTTAAATCAAATTGCAGTCAGTGCCAAGGGAAAAAATACAAAAAGATTTTTTATTTTTTAATAATTTTATTTCACTATAATAATTATTAAAACGCAAAACATCTCGAAATAAGTACACTTTCTTTTCAAAAATTGTTCAAATAATATATGGCATAAACAAGACAAGTTTGAACGAACTCTATATTCATGATAAACAAATGGCGAATAAAAACTAATTCCATGTTAATACATTCATAAAATGCACAAACAAGATGAGTGGCATTTATACCGAAATATAATCATTACATTTTGTTTATTTGCTAATAGTATGTCTACCAAAACCAGATCTGAGACATATAACTTATTTTTGCTAAATGTGATTAGTCCGATTCCTAATATTTCTGCCAAAACAAGATAAAGACCAGAAAACTTATTTTTATTGAAGGTATTTGTTGAAATACTTCAACATTTTGCCTAGAGCCGTCTCTGGCCTTTCTCGATTGGTCCGAAATCGACAAGGTGATTACGTCACCCCTTCTTTATACGATACAGCTAACCTTCAAAAACCAATAGATGAAAACACGTGATGCCCGAATCGCCGTGGTGAATAATTGATTGGTCAAGCCGTAACGAGTTATTGGCCAAGCTGTAACGAGCGAGGATGCTGACGCTTGTCTCCATATTGTTTTCGCGTTAAATCACCGAAACACCAGCTTTTCGAATTGCTTAAAAAACCCAAGCCATACCGGCAGAGTGATGCTTGAAACTCTCAAAAAATGCAACACATTAGTAATGCCTAGAAGAAAGATTTACTTAAACTTTGCAAATTAGGGTGCTACATTTGACGAATTTCACCATTATTATCACAATCTAACTGTATCCAATAATGTTAAAGACACAGTGCCTGAACCTTCCACAGACACAGACATTGAATATTATGACCTGTATGTAGACAGCTTAAATAAGTAAAGTAACGTTTTTTCTCATTTTTTTTTTGTTGTAACAGATCGATAGATTCTTAGTTTATACTTTGTGAAGACTAATTATGTTTTGAATACCCTTTTTTCATTGTTTATTAAACGGTTTGAAGCTTCTTCTGATTTTTATTCAATTTTAAACCTTTGAACAGAGTTTTCATCTTGTTTTTACAATAATCCGATGAGACATATTTATATTTTGTGTTTTATTTATTAGAGATTCCCACTAACTAATTTTAAATGGATGGCATAAATAAAGGGTCATTAACCAAAAATATTGCGGCCCGTGTAACATACCAAACATACGTACGTGGCCCGAAGGATAAAAAGGTTGAGTAAGGCTGCTCTAGAGTAACCTAGGCAAACGTACTAAGAAAATTAGTCTACTTCCGTGTAAAATCATTTGAACGCGATGCCCGTTAGGGTCGGTCTTTTCACCTTCAGATAAAGTTCCAGATAACTAACTGATGGATATATTATCTGAGAGTTACTATCTGTCAGATAATTAATTTTCTGTTTTTTTAAGTAAATAATATGTATGGTAAGAATCCAGTAGTTTTTAACCTTATGTGGTTATGTAGCTACCTTTTTATCCATCAGTGAAGTATTTTATCAGGAATTTCATAAGTTATCATTCAGAAGTTAGGTTTATCCAGAAGTGAAAAGATTACTTTTTAAGTTACTTGGGAGATAAAAATTACCTGGCACTTTATCTGAAGGTGAAAAGACCAACCCTTAAAGACTCCAATTTATTGAATTAAGGATAGATAACTGATTAACTATTATAATAGATATGCTGATTCAATAATTATCACGGTCAAAAACAATGGCCGTGTTCAGTGGTCCAATTATATAGGTACTATTTACACCATTATGTCGCGCAGCGCTAATTCAGCTTTTCTTGCTCTGTTGCCAGATTGAAGCTCTACTGGCCTAATTTAATATTTTTATTTCTTGTGAGGTAAAAGGTAAAACCGGCCCTGGTTGTAAATCATACACTTATGACGGATTATAATACAGAATCGTATTCAGGTACCTATTTTAACAAGTTACAATAAACATGATATTTTTGTTTTTATCGAATTTTAAAAAAGAAAAAATGATTGTTTTATCTGTGTGTGCTATAAGTTCTATATAAATTTATTTATATAAAAAATACTTGGATTATAATCCATGTTAAGTACTTATTATTATTATTATTATAAAATCGTTTCAAAGGGATGTATACATTTAAATTAATAGTGACAATAAATTCGTTGTCATTAAAAAGTAACATCCAAAGAAAAGATAATTTTGTAAATAAATTAAGAAGCAATGGAAAAATAACTTTAAGATGTATATTATACAAATTTCTACCTAGACACATTGTAATAGTTATAATATAATTATAGAAATAAAGCTTTTAAGGAAGATTGTTTTTTTATACATTTAATTATTATAGTAGAGATAACATTTAAGCTGTGAAATTTAAGGAAAATTGGTTAATCATCGTGGTCATCTTTAGCTGTAGCAAGTCACCGTCACCTAATCCGTTAAGCCCACGGTGGAATTTCCCAGAGGCATTTCAAAAGCGGCCTGATTTACTTCAAATGAAATTGTTCTTATCGGCATAATGAAGCATATTTATGGGGTATTTGACTTAGGTAGATAAAAATAATATTTACGCTTTCCCACCGAATTCTAAGGCAACTATACCTACTATTAAACTTTACGCCACTGCTGCAAGGATAAACCAGGTTCGACATACACATGCTGCAAAGACAAACCCCAATAATCCAACTACATAGCGTTGATCATACAATGCTATAACAGTAAAAAAAATGAGATTCTAGGAATACCTACTAGTATAGCCATAATCTCATACAAATGTTTAAGGAACTTTCAAATCCAAACACTAGTCCGAGAATCCTGGATACTGGCTGAATTAGTTTGGAAAACAGATGGTTCAAAAACCAATGAAGCAACTTGTGCTTGGTATCTTTCGAAAACAAAATTTCACCGAATATAGAAAAATATGCATCAGTGTCCCAAGCATACTGATAGCCATACAACATTGTTCAAGAGAAATGATAAATCAGCCAGTATCAAACAAAACTATTGTCGTCTACTCTAATAGCCAAGCAGCTCAAAAGGCACCAGAACTGAAATCAAGAATAGACTAGAAGACAAAATAAAATAACCTTATCCTGGATGTACTAGGCCACGAAAGACATCAGTGCTGGGAATCTTATGTACGAACTCGACACATAACTCAACACGTTACGTGTCGAGTAGAAAGAGATATTACATAAGAATCGCAGACTGTCGAACGACACGTATCGAAAGATGAGAATCTCACTGCAGGGTAATGAAGAGGCCGACGAATTAGGACGAGAAGACTCAGACAAAGCCATGACAGGCCCCGAACCCTTTTGTGAAGTTGTTAAGGCATTGTGCAAGGCATCCATCAAACAAGGGATGCAAAAAGTATCAGGAATGGTGGAACAACCATTTAGTACTGAGACAGGCCAGAGAGTTCATAAAAGAACCGCCGACCAAATTTATGAAAGATCTACTGAATCAAAAACGACAAATTGTTTAGGATAACAGTAACGCCTAAGAAGGCACATGAATATCATTAATCCATCAAAAGCCACATTGTGTAGATTATAAGAAACATCAATTCTGCCGTATTAATTCAAATAGCCGTATCTGTTTAGTACTTGAACGTGAGAAAAATCGATTTTTCAAGAAAAATCACTTACCCCCAAATTTCTAAGCGTTAAATCTCGGGTTTTATAGAAGATACATCCATGAAAGTTACAGATATGGACAAAAAATTCATTGTTGTCATGCGTATCTTTATTTCAAGGAAAATTGTAGTTGCAGCCATTTGAATTAACACGGCAGAATTCACGTCCTGTGGTAGTGTGAAGGCCTGGAAAGATTTTGGTTTCTAACATTAAGCGAGAAATGCCAGAAGCATGTAACTATATCCGGAAGCCACTGTCAGAGCTACTAAATCTAATAAAAAAGACCTGGGCTGGAACCCTGTGTCATGTAGAATTCTACTTATCGCTTTCTACAATAGAAATCGATTACTTCTTTTGTGATAAATACGTTATCAACCGCACGGGAAATATCGCAATGTGGTTTCTTATGAAACTAGTTAACCTGTAGTAAGTATATACTCGTTGGTTTTCCGCTATGTTACACAGAGTGCCACAAAAGAATCTATTGTAGAAAGCGATAAGTAGAATTCTACATGACACAGAGTTCCAGCCCAGGCTAGTCGACACACTCTAAATAACGGAGTTCCACAATATATCTGCACAGGGATTCTTATTGGCGGACTCGAAACGTTACGTGTTGAATAGAGATAGATACTACATAATAATCGCAGTTTGTCGAACGAAGATATGCGTCTCGACATATATGCTGTATTGAAAGATGAGAATCCCACTGCTGAAAAGGTCGCGATGGACCCAACTCCTTTTTGAATCTAATCTAATCAAAATCTAGGTCAATTTACATTTATTTATATTATTTTCAAGATTGTATTCTTTTAAAAGTAAACTGTAGTAGTTACATTAAAAATCTGATGTGTCCAACACATGACTTTCCTATCTAGTTATTATAGGCATTTTCCGGTTATTTTGTACAACCTATTGCAGCATCTCTATAAATGTTTAGAGGATAAACTAAATATATACATTTTACACATACATCTACCTCGAAACATTTTTCTATAGATATTCATTGAAAACGAAAATACAGAAAAATTTAAATTTAGCACTTTTCCATTACGGTCCATTTTAGAAAAATCATGTATAAACAAAAATTATAGAAATCGATATCGCAAACAACTTTTAGTTCAACAATTTTCATAAAAATCAGAATTTTGCACATTTTGTCAAATTTCTCGAATACGGACCATTTCAGGAAATTTTGACATAAAGAAAAAATTATAGATAATAATATTAGAAGTAACTTTTATTTGAACAATTTTCTTCTCCAAACATAAATAACAGATATATTCCATAAAATATAAAAACGGCCTCCCATAAAGTACCCCCCCAGATGTTCCGACTTTGTCCAAAATCTAATCATTTTACGTCAGGCCGAAATAAACCTTAAGTTTAAAATTTAATGTTTTTTCCTTTATCCGTTTTTGAGTTTTCTTCAAATTTCGAAATTTACACATTTTCTCAAATATTTCGAATACGATCCATTTTAGAGAAATTATGTATAGGACAAAAATTATAGAGAATTATATTACAAACAACTTTTATTTGAACAATTTTTATAAAAAATTATGTTTTTTACATTTTGTCAAATTTCTCGAATACGGACCATTTTAGGAAAATTTTGCATAAAACAAAAATTATAGATAATTATATTAGAAGTAACTTTTATTTGAAGAATTTTCTTCTCCAAACGTAAATAACAGATATATTCCATAAAATATAAAAATGACCACCAATAAAGTACCCCCCCAGATGTTCCGACACTGCCCAAAATCTAATCAGCTCATTGGACGCTGAAACAAAGCTTAAGTTTAAAATTTGGTGTTTTTCTGTGTATCGGTTCATGAGTTATGCGTTATACAGACACACACACACAGACACACACACACACAGACATCATCGCGAAAATAGTCAAAACGGATTCAGGGGACCTCAAAACGTAAAAATCCGTCGAAAACTCGAGGTCGAAAAAAATCATGATTCCTATACTTTCCTTATATCTGTATACAGATAGGAAAGTAAAAATAATTTTATTACATAGGTATCTAAAATACTTTTACGACCTGCAAACAATGTTTACCTAAAAAAAAAAACTTAAAATCAATGACAAAGAACAGTTTGGTTTTGTTTGGCACACAAATTAAGTCACGTTAATGCAAATGTATAGGTTGCAACAAATTTTTGGTGTCAAACGTTCATAGCCAGACCACAATTAAAAATGAGAATGAACATACCTTTCAAAATTTGTTTAATAATAGGGTGTTGTTCAATCAAAGAATCAAAACTAAACAAACAGCCTTTACGATGTTCGTCATTCCATTGACAATCCCAGCGAAGTTCTTTTACTTGTAATTTTTCGGTTATAATCTCTTGCAGCCTTATTGCTTCCTCCCTAAAAAAAAAAAAAACGTATACCATCACCACGTGTTACTCTGCTTCCTATTGAAATCTTCCCTACATCCAAGATGATAGCACAATTAATTCGTCAGATCTAAATTGACAATGGCAATATATCCCATATCAACGGCAAAACTCCAAAGAAGTTTTACAGGAGAGGCAAAAAAACGGCTTTTCTTAAAATAATGTCAAAAGTGTTTTGATTGTTTTGTGATTTTGTTACGAATTTTTATAGAGCTAAACATTATGTTTAATTGACAATTTATGAATAAGATCAAAATCATCATTTAAGGCTTGTTCAGCAACTTGATAATTATTACTATGTTGTAATAAAGTTGGATGTCATCGGCATATGCTTGTATTTTACAATTGCGAACAGATGTCGAAATATCACTGGTATATAAAATAAAAAGCAATGGTCCTAATATTGAACCCTGTGACACAGCGTTTTGTAATAAAGACAATTCGTTATTTAAAAGAACTTTTTGAAAACGGTTAGACAAATATGAATGAATAAAGTGAATAGAATTTTCAGAAAAACCAAAATATTTTAGTTTGAAACAAAGTAGATTGTGGAATAGTCCAAAGTCCTGTAATTTGTCTTCTGTCTATATTTCTTACAATATTATCAGTAACTTGACAAAGTGTAACAGATGTATTGTAGTCACTACGGAAACCAGCCTGGCAATCCGGAAATATTTCGTTTCCATCAATATAAAGCGAAATTCTATTATAGAATTTTGGACATCGCAGTCAGAATACTAATAGGCCTTAAATCAGAAAAATTTTGAGCTTGTGCAACATTACAAAGTGATCTAATTGTTGCAATTTTCCAAGATGTTGGAAACAGCATTAGATTTGATATTATGAAGTAGTTTATTAAATTCGCTGACAGTTATAACATCAAATGATAGTTTGTTTCCATACAAATTAGGTAATATTGAATTTGTTATAATATTCTAATAGGTCATCATTTACTTCATTATCAACAAAAACAAAACAAAAGTACTTATTTATTTCTTCAGGTTTCTGAAGCGAAATAGGTAGGGTTATTTATTTATTTACGGGCAAGCCCGTTTCAATTACAAATTACAATTATAAAAATTAATTAAAATATCACAAATAGTTATGGTGCTGTTGCACAAAGACATCATACATGTCATGCAAACTAGAAACATTTAAAATAATAACATAGGTTAGTCGAAGGTTAAAATAGAGAAAACATACAGTAAAACATTAACATTAAAGCTCAGTATTACGTAATTGAGTTTTGAATGATGAAAATGGAATATTGAACAGCCTGAGATCATTGTGCAAGTTAGCTAATCTAAGCATTCTTGGAATGCAGCTGTTAAAAGCATGGTTTGATCTATAAAAAGGTACATAAAATGTTTGCAGTTGCCTAGTTAAACGAGTTTGAACAAGAACATTTATTTTTTCAAGAAGTTCAGGACAATTACTTCTACTATTTATAATATTAAATAACAAACTAAGGTCTCTTTGTTTTCGCCTAGTTTCCAAGGAGGGGATGTTCAGAAACTGTTGCATGAAAATTAAACCAACTTACCTATGAATATCACCTTTTTTGGACTTTTCTAAAGCATCCGAAAAGTTCTTTGCTAGATAATTATTTAGTTTTAAATTTTCTTGGGCTTCCTTAATATCTCTTTGCATTTTTACATGTGCATAAATTGGATGGTTTTCATTCATTTTAGTAAAATCAATATCATTGGCATATTTAACCTTAAAAATTCATTATTTTCTGTTAAATCGGTACTGAACTTTAATAAAAAAAAGTGCGTTTTGAATGTGCATGTTCAGATTTAGATGAAATTAATTTGCAATAATTTTTTCTAATTAAATAAACTTTTTGTTCGTTTTTGTTTTATACAGGGCCGCATTTACTCTTTTGGGTGCCCTAAACTCTATTGGACAAACGCAAGTAACACCTAAACACAACTAGCCCCATGACCACAGCATAATGAGCAGCCATACTCAACCTTTTTTCCTTCGGGCCACATTCGTATATGGGTATTTCTCCCTTAACTTTAAAAAACCATGTCCCCGTTGTGTAAAAGCCTTAAAAAATTGTCTCTTTTAAACATTTTTCTGCAGTACATGTTGTAAGCGATCCTTACTAATAGAAAAAAGTAAATTTAATGTAGGTTATTTATTGGTACATTTTGGAGAAGACGGCAAACATGCAAAATGTCACTTCTGTCCCTGTCCCCAGTTCTAAAACTTCAACATTAACCATATTTTGCCGGTAAAAATAATTCCTTAAAAGGCTGCATTTACTTAAAAAAACGTTTTTATGTTCATGGCCTGCAAGAAAATGTGCAATTCTTGCGAAAAAACACAAGAAAAAAAAATTAATTGTGAACAAGTGTTTAGGTCACATTTGTCTCGCTTAATAATATAATTCCTGCGCGTTCATAGATGGCGCTGTCATCTAACGTTATTGCCTGAAAATTTTAGTTCTTTATGGTATGTAACAGTGAAATGTTGTTATCGTTATATTTTTAGAATTTTTTGGTGAAAAAACGTGGCAAAAAGTGAAAATGTATGTAAAAACAATGCTAAGTCCTTACTGTCTCTTGACAGAAATGTATTAAGTATGCAAATTTCACGTTCATTGGTACTTTTATACTAAAAACAGATGAAATTGCAAACAAGTTCAATTATAATTGATAGGTAAACAAAACCTAAAATTTTTAAGGGCAGGAAAACGTTATTAATGTCACATCTGTACCATGTCACTTCTGTCCCTTTTTTTAATAATTTAAAAAGGGACAGATGTGACTTAAGTGGACAGAAGTGACACTAATAATAAACTTGTTGGTGCATTAACATAAAGTAGACAATATTGATAAACCCATATCCTTAATACACAGCGTCACAATTTTATTAACTTGGACAGTACCGGAATTAGAAATAGTAAGAAGGGTACTTTACTTGTAACTAACATTTGTAGGAAATGAATATTTCATCAAATCAAAAAAAGATTATTGATATTAATAGCTTGACTGGAAGACTTAAGACATTAAAAAATGAAGCCGCTGAGAAAAGAAAATATGAGGATAAAAAGCGAATGAAGAAGCAAAGATATCACGAAAAGAAACAAGCGAAATTTGCCATGCAAAAAGTACGAGATAGAGGTCGACCAAACATTTTCAAGGATTTGTCTATGGATTTCCAGATATTATAGACATTTACGAATTCAGTTATGAAGATGTAATGAGAAAACTGGAAGAACCAAAAAAGTATGGTCGTGGGTTATTAAAATTTAAAATTAATACTAGTAGTGAATAATATGTTTTAAAATACTTTAATTAGTCGTTAAGCCTATGACTGTTTTTTATTTTGTAAAATGTTACTCTTTGTGTTTTTTTAATGTAATAATAAACAAATAAAACTTAAAATAGGAGATGAATTACGTTGTCACACCTGTCTTCATTTTGGTCACTTTTGTCTCTTTACATTTTTTGCCGATAAAAAATTATTTTATAATGTTGTAGTTATTTTAACTTCCAAAGCTTCTCTATTTAGCCCCAACTAAGCAATAAAAAAACATACTATGATCAAATTAAGTAGTAACTGTTTCAGCAGAGAAGAATTAAATTAAAAATATATACCTATGTCTTTTTTTTGCATTTGTAGCCTTACTTTTTCACAGTTGCTTGGTCATTATTAGAATAAAGTAAAAACCTGATTAAAAGACTTTGTCTTCTATCGAAATTGTTTTAGTTTAAGATGTAATGGTATTTAGATTATGAATTATAGTGTAAAAAAGTCAAGGGGACAGAAGTGACTCTTATAATGAAATAAACATTTTGCCAGTCACTTGCCAATGAAAATTATTGCTTGTCTTGTATTTGAACATTCATTTTGCAAAATTTAAATCATAAAAAATTATTCAGAGATACTTATTACAACGTATTGCAAACAAAATAAAATCGCAAAATTTTCTTCATTTTTTAAAGTTAAGGGAGAAATACCCATATGTGCTTTGTTAGACGGGCCGCAATATTTTTGGATGATGACCTTTTTTTAGGACATCTATCTAAAATTAGTCAGTGGGGACCTCTAATAAATAAAATACAAAACATAAATATATCCCGTTGTGTTACTGCAAAAACAAGATAACTCACATTTTTAGAGTTTCGATAAAACACTATTCAAACTTTTAAAACTGAATAAAAAATCAGTAAAAGCTTCAAACCGTTTATTAACTTCAATGAAAAAGGTATTGAAAACATTGTTCACAAAGTATAAACTAATAATCTATTAATAATTGGTAAAAATAGAAAGAAAAAACGTCACTTAGCTTATTTTAGCTCTACATATAAAACATAATTCAATGTATTTGTCACTATTTCAGTTTCAATAACATTATTGGATACAGGTAGATTGTGATAAAAATGGAGAAATTCATCAGGTGTATCTGATTTTGCAAAATTTTAGTAAATCTTTCTTCTTGCACTTTTTTGTAAGTATTTTCAAAACTTTGTTTCATCCTTTTATGCATCTCTCTGAATAAATACTGTGCGAGTTTGGCATATAAAGCCGAATTCCCCACCCTCGCCCATTGATAAATTAAATCTATTTTTTTGGTGAAATGTATTAAGGATATCTGAATCTTTCGATACGTTATCTATTAGAAAGTATGGTTAAAATTCATATTCGCCTGTTACCACTAATACTTTTATTCACGAATTTTCACATAAAGAATCGCTCGTTACGGCTTGACGAATCACTCATTACAGCTTGGCCAATCACTCGTTCACCACGGAGATTCGAACATCATGTGTTATTATCTAGTGGTTGTTTAAGGTTAGCTGTATCGCGGAAAGTAAGGGTGACGTAATCATCTCGTGGATTTCGGAAAGGCCAGAGACGGCTTTAGACATAACAAAACAAATGGCATGGACACAATGTAATATTTTAACAAACACATTCAACAAAAATAATTAGCGGCAAACCACTCCCGAAATACTGGTACGTTTTCACTGGAAATCACCGAAATCACTACACATTTTCTCGAAAATTCCAAAATCATCATCTAAAATCATGGTCAAAATCAATTCGTCGCTCACAACCCGAAATGGCGAGAAAAAAGATCATCGTATATAATTAAGGTGGATTTTCAGTAAAATCACCTAAATTGCATAAAAATTTTTAAGTGATTTCCGAAATACAGGTATGTTTTGACCTTATTGGTTTCCCTTTGGTTCCGGCCTTTATCTTGTTTTGGCAGGAACACTATTAAGAATCGAACTAAATATATTTAGCAAAAATAAGTTATATGCCTATTATCTGGTTTTGGTAGACACATTTATCAATTGAACACAATGTTATGATTATGTTTTGGTATAAATGCCACTCCATCTTATTTGTCCATATTGTTAATGTATTAAAATGGAGTTAGTTTTTATTGGCTATCTGTTTATCATGAATATAGACTTCTTTCACACTTGTAGAAAGTGTACCTACTTAACTCGAAAATTCCAAAAGTGGAGCTATCTTGTTTTTGCAGTAACCCCAAACGTTTATTTAAAAATTAGCATGCTATTTAGCACTGCGACCAATAATAGTGTTGCGGGCCACAAAAAAAGCTTGGAGGGCCGCAGGTTGAGTATGGCTGAGTTAGAGGGTAGGGATATATTCAAAACAGGTTCACTGGACTGGCTAATAGCAGCACTTTTTCAATTTTTATTTGGTTTGTTATCAGTTTAGGGATATGGAGGTGTATTTTTCATAATTTTATAGGGGAAATTGGGGATAATATTAAATTTTTATATTTCCAAAATATCTATGTAATTGAAATAATTAAAACAAATGTAGAAAAAAAGGAGACCATTACATTTAAAGGTTAGTACACAGTGTTGACTTACAATTTCCAATAATACAAACTATACAATTATGTTGAGGATGAAGATTCCAACTTGTGCCTAATGGTAAATGCGGTCCTGTTTTTACTTAACATTATGTGAACTGTATAAATTATGTGTCTATGAATAAATATACCTTCATATTGTAATTCTGTACAACTTGAGGTGGAGGTATAATACTATCAACATAATCAGTAGGAAGTCCACAACTTTTCAATATTGTAGTTAATGTTGAACGGATATCATTGCCATTGAGTCTGATTTTTATTAGACGAAAAGTTACTAAAATACATAAATTTAAATTATTTAACAACAAATATTCATATGGGTATATTTAACAAGAGTAGTTTGTGGAATAATAATGCCCAAAGAACACTTTTATCCCAAGCTCAGAAATTTGTGCATGAGCCGTAAAAGGAATTCCTCTACTCAAGTGGGGAAAGTGTTTTGCCCTTATGTTGCACACTATACTTTTTCCACAATAACACTTATTAAACAAAAAATAGGAACATTTTGTTAATAATAAAATATGATCTCATGTAATGTTCATGTTGACACCAGCCTTCTGCTTTCTGGGTGTAGCATTCTCTTATTTATTAGACATTTGGTGGAGGTTAGTTGTATTGTTTGATCGTCACATGCAAGTAGGAATACAAAAAGGTTCTGATCTCTTGACTTTACCATCTTCCCCAAAGCAAATCTCCAGTTTTCAAAAAAAAACTAGAATGTCGAGAAATTACACTTAGCCTCTCTTCAAATGTTCAGGTCTCTGATACAGACAGATTATAAAAAACCATCACATTCATAATTGCCACTGTGTTGTGTTATAATATCCTATTTAACATCATATTCATATAACCAATTGTGGCATGTGATAAAGGAGAACTCTCATTAGAGCTAATGTTGAACACCTGTGGCATTATCTAACTAATAATATAAGAGAATGAGTATTTATTTCTAAATCTTTACAATATGGAGAGTCATACATACCGTTTTTGTTCGATTTGTCTTTAATATAAAAACTTAAATTAGCTGGTCTAACAGGTTTAGAAGCTTGAATATTTTCTAAAATGGAACTTAACTGTTGCAAAGAAGTTTCATTTATAGACTACAAAAGAAAAATCTACAATTTAATTTGTCTAATCTAATTAATTGTACCTACTCGTTCACTAGGGTATTGTCCAAATAAATCGGGATGAACAGAAAAATAAAAAGGTCTCAAAGCAGTAGAAACTTCTGTGGAAGTAAAATTTCGACTACATATCTGTGGAATTCGGATCGAGGTTGATAATAACCTAAAATAAATGATAAAATTAGAACAGTTTTGATACAGAATTTTAATTTAATTACAAATTTTGTAAATTACGCAGCATTCTTAGTTTAAAAATACCATGGTTAACTTCCTTGACACTTAACTTTGACATGACAATTTGACAATCATATGATTTTACAAAATAAAATCATGGAAGGTGAGTTCGTTTATTCAGGGGTTTGGAACTGAAAGCGAGACAGAGAGAACAGGACAGAATCACAAACATTAAGTAAGGACAAAAGATCTCTATCAAAATTTACGCTCCGGAACAAATCTGACGGTACTCAAAACTTCTGTGTTCAGTGAGGGTTCTGTGTGTTGGCAGTTGGCACTATTAGCACATTGGCAGCATTGATTGAAACGACAGGCAAAAAGACACATGTTAGGATCTAACCTCAATATTTTTTTTGCCTTGTTATTTTAATTAGTCTAAATTTGTTTTTGTAAATACATTTAAAAATGTCGTGGATATTTGGTTATGGAAAAAATAAGGACCAAGCACCTGATTTGTCACAATTAGGTTTGGGTGTACCGGATGGAGCTGGTGCAGGAGGCTCCGGGGGAGATAGTCAAGAGCCCCCCAATTTAACTAAAGCAGAAAGGAGAGCTATGGAAGCCTACAGATTCGATTCCACAGCGTTAGAAAGAGCTGCACAGTCTGCAAGGGAACTGGAAAAATCAAGTAAGTAGAAGATAAGGTTATGTAACAAACCATTTTTTTCTTAATACATTATTTTCATAAATGAAATAATATTAAAATGTTATCCTAGAATATGCTAAGGATGCCTTAGAATTGTCTAAACTTCAAGAACAGACTAGACAGGTAGAACAGCAGGCTAAGATAAAAGAGTATGAGGCTCATATTTCCCAGATGCAAATTGAAGCAAAGAGGGCTGAAGCTGAAGAAAGGAGAAAACTTTTGCAAGAAGAAACTAAGCAACATCAAAATAGAGCTCAATACCAAGACCAATTGGCAAGAAAAAGGTAAACTATTTTTATATTTGTATACCTAATTTTATACAACCATTTTTTATTATATTTAATTACTCCCTAGAGATCATACCCCACTAACTACACACATATCTATTTAAAGATCAGTTAGGTAAAAACCTAGAGCTGCAAATTCCATTTATTGGTGAAACAAAAAAGAATAAAATACCATTTTAGTTTTATATAAATCTAAAAATATTGCTGAAAAAGTACATGTGAGTTAGAACAAATGATAAAATATATGTTATATAAAGTAGGTATTTTTTGCATTTACAAAGTTCACAATTGCCTTAAACATAACACCTAGAAAAAGATACATGTTTTTCTCAGCATCAGTACAAAAGAAAAAAACTAAATGTTCTTAAAAAAAACAAGAAATGTCGGGTAAATTTTATCTGAAAAAATGACCTGGAAGTTGATGCTTTGAATCTCATCAGAGATTTGTTCCAGGGCTTCAAAATCAAATATAATATCAAAATGTTTTGGTTTACAACTTTAGCTAATTATTTCAGAGCAAAGCAACTCTTACTAAGCCTACCACAGAGATTGTCCACATGACAAGACCATCCCAAATTCTCATCTACTATCACACCAAGAAATTTTGCAGTGCTCACATAATTAATTTCTGTGTTGTTTAGATTTATAGCATTTTCATAATCATTCTTATTTCTGCTGTGTTTAAACAGGATACAATTTGTTTTGGACATATTTAATACTAAGAAATTTTTTAGAAACCACTCTGCCGTTATTGATGATATGTGCATGATATCTTGTTTCAGACTTTCATAATCGGTACTGGTTATTAAAATGTTAGTATCATCTGCATAATTTGTTAGTGTTACAAAAGACAAGTCTATCACATTTGATAGGTCATTAATGTAGAGGAGGAATAGCAAAGGACCTAAGATACTTCCTTGTGGTACACCCATATGTATCGATTCTTGTTCTAAGAAAAAGAGTCCACTATAGACAGACTTTTTGAGACCTTGCATTCAGATATGATTTAAACCAATCATATGCAATTCCACATACACTGATAACATATAATTGTTTTAATAGTAATTGGTGGTTTACACAATCAAAGGCTTTTGACAAGTCTAGAAATACACCATGCACAATCCAGCCATTATCTAGGTGATGTAGAATGTGTTCTACAAAGGAAAAAATTGCTGTAGTTGTAGATTTTCCTTTTTGGAATCCATGTTGAGTAGCAAGAAACTTAGTAAGGCGTTTACTCATTGCAATTTCAAAAATTTTTGAGAAGCTGGTTAGCAAACTTATAGGTCTATAGTTTTCCATAACAAATGGATCTCCTTTTTTTAGAATGTGTCTCACAACTGCAGATTTTAGTTTGGATGAGAAATCACCTTTCTGAAAGGAATTATTTATTATGTAACATAAAGGCTCAAGAATATATGAAGCAACATTTTTAATAAGCACATTATGAATATCATCTTCACCTGCAGACAGCTTGTTTTTTAAATTTTTTATTATTGTCAATAGCTCTTCTATTGTCACATCTGCTAGATATATAGATTGTGGATTATGTTGTTGTATTCTATTTATATCTACATTGTCCATATCTAGGTCTCCTAGAATTTGCGAAGCAGCTGTTTTGAAGTAATTATTAAATTTATTGCAGGCTTGTTTAGGAGAAGTTACAATTTGGTCATCAACTTTATTTCCATTGAAAGTAGCCAAGTTTTTATTAGACCTGCCCAGCTTTGTATTAATAACGTTCCAAATAGCCTTTATTTTATTATCTGATTCATTGATTTTTTTTTGTAAAGATGTTTTTTCTCAGATAGCAGCAGTTTAGAGTAATACCTTTTATATGCGTTAAAATCTTCTTTACTAATAAGCCTTTGTATGTATAATTCTGAAAATAAATTTAAAGTATTTTTTGCCTCGCGAATGGAATTAGACAGCCATTTACTCTTTTTATGTTTGGTCATACACATAATACAAACGGAGTAGATAGTTTTGTAGTACCAACACATAAAACCACACTATTTGAAAAAGGATGCTATTTTAAATGCATACAATTTTATAATATGTTTCCATGCTATATAAAAAATATTAAAAATGTAGACAGATTTAAGGCTGCGACATTTGATCCAGTGGTTTTGCAACAAAGCAAGTATTCAATGCATTGTACATAGATGACAATACCTGTACCTGTAGCTCGTATAACAATTTTATTTTTAAGCGTACTTGTGTTTATATCCAGGTTGCCAAATCTCGGTAGACAGATACCAATAAATGTTTTAGAAGAATAATATATTTTGCGATATCCAGTTTCAATTTAATAATTGCACTGTTACATGAAAAATTAATCTGTCAAAACTTGTACCTAGTTGGTAAGTAGTAAGCAGGTTAAATGTAACAAGAAGAAAAAAAACATTAAATTTTACTTTAGAATAATATTTCAACATTTATTAACATTATTGGTATATTGTATTCACTGATAAACTATATTTGACGGTCATAATAATAATTTTAATCCTAAAGAACCGGGTCAATTGAACTTTTCCACATCGCAATTTTTGGGTTGGAGTGAAAGGTATTTTATGGTTGGGTAGAAATTTTATTACTTTATGGTTTTTCCTAATGAAGGGTTTTGTTTACATTTTACCTAAAAATTTGCAAAACTTCTATAAATATAAATCGATTATTTTAGAATTTAAATGATTCCTTGATTCATTTCGGTAATAAAATAAGAATTTTTAATTTTTTATGCCTACTTATTAGGTAATGGTACCTCTAAAATGCATAATGATATTACTTAAGTAAAAATATAATTTGACAATAGCGTGATCGCTCATGCTTTTGTTGATTAGACAGAAATTGTGAAACTTACAGCCGTATGCATAGTCGATCGCCAGCGACTCGCCAGAGATTCATTCCGGCGTTTCGCCAGCGATTCGCTGGCGATCCACCGGCGAAAGCCCAAAAAGGTGGCGTCTCGCCGGAGATTGTCACCGGAATGTCATTTCACGCAAGTTTTTATTTTCTTTTATAGGGATTATCACCGGTATTTTATTCATGATTCATTTTTTAAAACTCAAAAAATAATGAACGAATATCAAATTTTTCCCTATAAAAGAACATGAAAACTTGCGTGAAATGACATTCCGGTGACAATCTCCGGCGAGTCGCCGGCGGATCGCCAGCGAATCGCTGGCGATCGACTATGCATACGGCTGTTAACAATCGATTGGATCGATTATTGTGAATTTCGGAACTAAGCAACTGGTAGTCTCTGGCAACTGACAAGACAAAAAACTCAAATGTCGAAGGATTGAAGTCTAAACGACAAAACGTAAACAGTTCGTTTTTCGTGTTTGAATTTTGGCAGATTTTTGAGTGGGTGTTGTTATTTTTTTGTGCTTTTTCGTTATTCGTGATTTTGTTACTTTTATAAGACTTCATTAGTTATAAGGATATTTAGTAGTTAGTGAATAAACTTTTACCTTATAAAATATGGGGCATCATACAAATGTCCCGAGTAGAAAGAGGAAGAGAAATAAGATGTGCAATTGGAAAGTCATGTGTTCCCAAAAGTCGTTTGGTTTCAAAGTTCCTCAAGGAATAAAAGTGTAACAAAAATTTAATGTTGAAAGATATATAAAGGATTCATTTCCAATATTTTTGACATCTGTATTATATTTTAGGTTGTTTTTATTGTAATATACTATAATCTTTTTTCTAATAAACTACTTTTTGTTTTATGTCTAAATATTTTTTATATTTCCTTCCACCCATGTCCTATCAATAATTATTTTTGCAATAAACAAAAATATTTCGGTATTTTTGCAAGTTTTGAATTAGTTTTTATTAAAATTGCTCATAAACCGATACAATTAACATTAATAAAACTGATTATAATAACTACTTCAAACAAACTCAAAATTAATATTGCAGAAAAATATCCATTTGTACACCACTTCATTGGCTTCAATTCTTAAAATTAGTCTTCATGACACGTATATGACATACAGTGAGTGCAATAAAGTTGGGTCCATATATATATGGCAATTTGTTTTAATATTATGACCGGAAAAAACGTCATTTACCTCTGATTATTTAAAAAGTTGGCTACGTACGTTACTTACCTGTCAAATTCGTAATAATTTTGAAAAATCGCTCAAATATTCTTTTTTAAACGAGACTGACAGAACTAAATCCAGTAGTCAAATTTAATATGGGTTGTTTTAAGTTTTTAAATAACCAGAGATGATGGTTTACGATGTTTTTTCCAATCGTAATATCAAAAAAAAATCACATATGGATCCAACTTATTGACACACACTGTATAAAGCAGGTTTGAGAACGTACAAAACTATATTTTTTTTAATTCTTGTCAACTAACAAAAGTGCTTGTGCCTTAAAATCTTCCCGATTTTGTCCATGGAGAAAGATTTTGTCACTCAATAAATATCTTTAAAACCATTGTAAACATACATAGAACGGCAACGTCGTATTATCATTGATTATCATATACAAGTATATTTGAGCAACGGTTCGTATTGTACTTTGAAATAATTTGACATGCCGTTTGCATTTCTAATTGGTCAACCAATAATTTGACATAAGACGTTTACTTTTCTGATTGGCAACCATTAGTTGTCGCCCAAGTTTCAATGCATACGTTAACTCAGCCTTACATGTCGCATTGGTGGTGAACACGATGTACTAAAATGACATGATAATTAACGCGTCAATTTTAAAAATTGTGTCAAAATTTGCAAATTGAAATCATGCTTTTTGTAATAATTATTAGACCGACAGCCGTCATATTGTAGGATAGTTAATAAAAAATCATAGAGAATTCATTGAAAATAATTTGCTTAATCATCCTTGCAATAAAATTTTTCAAGTTTTTAATGATAATTTGAAATTATGATTAGTTATTATCGAATATGTGTATATTCAATTCATTCTTACAACATTTCTGTTTATAATTATAACTCAATTTCCTTGTAATTTTTCTTTATTAATCTAAAAAGCATGATTTAGCAACACGTTGTAAAATGACAAAAACGGCCGCCATTTTTAGTCCATTTCCCAGCCTTAAGTCAACCATTAGAAATATCTTAATTGATATTGAGCCCTACTCACTAGATGATGTTACAATCGTAGAATATTTCAAATTCATGTAATAAGTTAGGATTAGAAATAAGATAGGATCCTTTTTAGAACAGAAGTAAAAGTTGGAAATGCTTTTGCCAGTTCTCCCACTTTATACACATAAATTGACAGGTTGGCAGCGGATCTCACCGAAGTGGACGCGATACATTGGCGTACAAAATTATTTTATAGATGTTAATAACAATTTCGAGTAAATAGTTTAATAAATTGTGAATAGCTGTTGAAATTTTGTAAAATTATGATTTGAATATTATAATACATGTTTAATAATTATTTATAATCCATAAATACATGAGATTGTCCGGTTCCGCCTATAACAATTTAAAATTACTTATTCTATGAAACGACACTGGCAGGTAAACATTACTACGAAATTCTCGGAGCCGCCCGACGTGGTTTGACGTTTACCCCCTCTCTACCTACCAAAAGACTTTTCAACTTTTACTTTCTCTATAGCTGGTTAGTAGTTTAGTTTGTTTTCTTCTTTTTCTACCTATCAGTATTAATTTTCTGTGGCGGTAAACAGTATGATTGATGTAATTATCAATTCAAATTATGGCACTGTGGGTTTTGCTAGGTTTTCCTCTAGTCTTGGTAAATACATTAATACATTAATAATTATTAATAACAATACTACATCTTGCAGTTGGTATTTTTGCATCATCTATTTTAATTTTTAGCTTTATCTTTATGTAATATTTAGTTATGGATATTGACACAATACACTTTGTATATTGTATATTTATTTTTGTAAGTATATTTTTTTTAGATATGAAGATCAACTTGTTCAGCAGCAAAGAATGAATGATGAAAATCTCAGAAGACAAGAAGAATCTGTAGCTAAACAAGAAGCAATGAGGAAGGCAACCATTGAACATGAGATGGAACTTAGACATAAAAATGAAATGAAGAAAGTAGAAGCTGAACTAAAAGCAAAAGCAAAAATTGATAGAGAAAATCGGGACATAACTTTAGAACAAATTAGATTGAAGGCTGAACAGAATAGAATCACTGTTTTGGAAAGTATAAAGTAAGAAAATTTGAAGGAAATGTTTGAGATATATCTTAATTTTTTCAGTACATTTTTAGAATATTGTTATGAAAAAGTGTTCTTTCAGGACAGCAGGCTCAGTTATAGGGGCTGGAGCTCAAACTCTTTTGACAGATTGGAATAAGGTTCTAACAGCAGCTGGTGGTTTGTCACTATTAGCACTTGGTGTATATTCTGCCAAAGGAGCTACCTCTATCACTGCCAGATATATTGAATCTAGATTAGGTAAGTAAAAGTTATTAATTTTACTCTTAGGTAACTGGAGATATTAATTTGTGCATGTGGGATACTCATATATTTTCTTTAAGGAAAACCTTCACTGGTAAGAGAAACTTCAAGATTTTCTGTATTAGAAGGTTTAAAACATCCCATAAAAACCATTAAGAGCCTCAAAAATACAGAAACTGATGCTCTATCGGGCATCATTTTAGCACCAAAACTAGAAGGAAGATTGAGGGATGTTGCCATAGCTACAAAAAATACCAAACAAAATAAAGGATTGTATAGAAATATTCTTATGCATGGGCCACCTGGTACTGGAAAAACTATGTTTGCAAAGGTAAGAAAACCAATTGCACATTTATTTAAGATTATTCTTATAATTTTTACATTTAGAAACTTGCCAAACATTCTGGAATGGATTATGCCATTTTAACAGGAGGTGATATTGCCCCAATGGGTAGAGACGGTGTTACGGCAATTCATAAAGTTTTTGATTGGGCAAATAATTCAAGAAAAGGTAAATATATAATTATTATAAAAAATCTTTCTACTTTTATTATGTCTGAAAGCAATATTGGATTATTTTTCTGTAATTAGGAACAAATTATACATACAGTACATCCGCGAAAATAATATGTTCCTATGACGTACAAATAATATAGTTTGGTATTCTAGAAAAAAATTTAATACGTAAAATCAACGTAACTTTAAAACAACTGGCAACAATGCTGAAGATTATTTACTATGTTAATCATCTGAACGTCATTGTTTAAGCAGTGAAAATATGAATTTTTCAGATAAAAAAAATATATTCCTTGTTATGGTTTATGGTAAGCAAGTAAAAATAGACCATGACAATGATTCAAGACTTTTTGCGAATTCTTGATGTAAATTGAAAAATAGGAAAAATTCATGTTTATTACAAGGAAGTATAGCTTTCGTATAATTATAAAAATATATGTTTCTATGATTGTCAGTTACCAGGGATTTTAATACTTCTCTCTAAAAATGCCTACAATTTCAAAGCACATTTATCACTGTTCCAAACATTATAACTTAGGAGAAAATTAAAGATTTTGAATTTCGATTTCCTCTACAGTCTACACACTCAAAATACCAAATCTTGGGTCCATCCTACTATCCGGAGGTGCGAATTTCACATTTCTATAGTACATTTTTGCAAAAATATTAAAGGATGAACCAGCATTTTTCGAAAAAAATTAATCAAAAAAACTCAATTTTACAGGTTTATATTCACAAAACATTTTTCTAAGTGACAGATTGTGTCTTGAAAATAACAACGTTGCCAAGTTGGTAATGAAATTATAAGTTTCAGGATTATTTTATTACCTATAAATTGCCAGATTATAAAAAATTGAAGTGATCAAAAATCATATATTTATGGTTTACTTACGATAATAATCGTACATAAAATGAAAAAATTAAATTTCGGTAAATATTGACAGAAAGCGGCAACGACATTATTTTAAGAAATAGATATAAAAACTGAACATTTTTCATAAGTAGTGTCAAAGACCATGTTAACTTGGATAATGTAACAAAAAAACATGTAACTTACGTACAAATAACTCGAAAATCATTTATTAAAAAGAAATATCAATAATTTAAATTAGGCGAGCAACAAAGTTGTCAATTTTGTCGCTCGGTGAGCGACAAATATGTCACTTGATGTCAGAAAAATACATTTTTTTACAAAATTTACATTTTGGGCTTGGTAAAGAGAGTACTATTTAAATATACCACTGAAAACCCCATAAATTAACGGTTTTATAAAAAATTTATATATTAAGAGCGTATGAGGATCATTTATGTAAACTTAGGGTCTATTTATACTCCCTTATTATTAGTATTTGCATTAGTATTATGATTAAGGATTAAGTTGAACCTTCACAATGTAATGGGGACATTTATATTCGATTTATGATTAGTATTAGCATTAATAATTATGCTTAATAATTGACTTTTAAGTTAAATATTAAATTTCTTCTTTTCTATCAAATAAATCAATGACGTATTTGGCCTTTGTTTTTAATAGACAACGGATAATAATAATAATAATTGACAATAAACATATGATTATGTTGTTTATAGGTTTGTTCCAACAAGTTCGAAAACGATTATATTTCGGTACAAATTATGCCCTGTATACAATTTTTGTGCATCAGCAGTGTTTACCGAGTATAAAGTTGACAAATGACATGTCACCACGAGGAAGCAAAGGCCTCTTTTCTGTCTGATTTGTATCAAACTTCCGCTTCTTTTTATCTGTTATAAATTTGAGAAGTAAATCCGTTAAAATGTCCTTAATTAAACCTATTTTTGAATAATATTATTTTAAAATAAAATTAACTAGTAAAATATTAATAAAAACACGTTTAAAACTCAAATATCTTAAAAAATATTCTAAGAACACAACTGGCCTCTTACACATTTTTTCAGTAACCAACATATTCTTGTCTGCAGAATTATACCTTATTAGGAAAAAGATTATTAAAAAAGAAGCACTAATGTTAATCATAAAACGAGTATAAATACCCTTTTTGAATATTTAGTCCAGTTTAATGCTTAATCATAATACTAATAATAAGGGAGTATAAATAGACCTTTATTCATTAGAATTATGTTTGATATATTCCGCCAATACAAATGAGCGATTTTTCCAATTGTCCAATTAAAATCAACGAAAACGAAATATAAAAGGCAATACTTCTATTAATTTATTTCTAGCCACATCTGACCATTTTGATTGAATTGTTGTAGTACATAATAATTAAATATTAATATAACATCATACATAAAGTAATAATCAATGTACTTTTCGAAAACTTATAAACATAATTACATTGTATTATCCAAAAGTTTTTAAACGTTTTTGAAACAAGGGAATTTGTTTGACAAATGACGTTAGCCAGCCAAATTTAAGGACTTATCAACTAAAGACGATATCTGAATTAGTTCAATTTATTCTTGGTCAACCGTGACGTCACTCAGTGGATACTTTCAGTGTCATCCTATTTAAGACGTACATCGATACGCCCTTTTTTTTAAATTACGAAGTAACATTTTTTTTATTTTAAAATAAAAAGAAATTCAAATATTCAAAGAATAATTTTGACCTAGAAAGATAATTGCATCTGAATTTTATAGGAGTAAATAAATAGGTAAGTAGTAGGTAATACATTTAAATAGTATACACATGTTATCTAAACACTTTTTACACGTACACCATAGACCACATACTTTGATTTTTTTTTTACTATAAGGAGAATGGTCGCACTGCGCAGCTTTCTGAGTGCCTTTTAAAAGGAGATAGAGAACTCCGCCATTTTGATCCCTTATTACGTGTTGCCTACATCTTTGCGCAATATTTTTAATAGGTGCGTTTTAATCATCCGCTTCTGCTTCGGAATTGTCGGTTTTCTTGTTTTAATCTGACAGGTTAAAACGACTAAACCGACAATTCCGGAAGCAGAAACGGATGATTAAAACGCACCTGATATTTTGCTTGCTGCTGTCAGTGTCAGTGAATATTATTTTTGGAGTCACAGTTTATTGCTAAAGAATCAGTTAGCTCACTCGGACCAGTTGAAAGTTCAAAAATAACATCCACTCCAGGGATACAAATTCAGGATACGCAGAAGACTGCTGTTTTATTATAGGCGGTTGTCATATATTGTATTATTCGAGTTGCGCAGTGTATAAACTGGAACATTGAGATCAAAAGTGCCGACGCAGAGTGAGCGATTTGATTCTTTAGCTATAAACTGTGGCATAGGAATCAAAATGGCCGCGCCTTATGTTGGACGTATCGGACCTCTCTCTTGCACCGTATAGTAATCAAAGTATGTGCCATAGACCCATTCACTAACCACTACAGAAGAGAGCGAAGCGAGCGCGCATTTTTTATACCTTCATCATAAGAACAGGGTACGCTAACCCACCTACTTACTAATCACTACAGTAAAAAGCGAGCGTACCCAGCCGACGTTTCGAAATTCGCGCGAATTTCCAAACGTTGGCCGGGCGCGACATTTTTATATCAACACCATATGAGCACGGTACGCTAACCCACCCACTTACTAACCACTCCACTCCAGAAAAGAGCGAGCGTGCCCAGCCGACGTTTATGGCGCGCCTTTTTTACTCCTACGCCATAAGAGCGCACTGCGCTTGTTCCACGTGCGTCCTAACATGTATAGGAAAGAGGAAGCCTAGGAGCTAGCGAATGGAACACCCTTTCTACATCTCTCTGGCTTCACTCAATAGGTCTTTTCCTTTGTATCGAAAGTGTAGCGCTGAGCTACACCACTTTTGAAAATATCGTTCAATTTATACAAATGGAACCATATTTTCAGAAGTGGTGTAGCTCAGTGCTACACTTTTGATGCAAAGGAAAAGACCTATTAGGTTCTTTCGTTCGCTGTTAGTGCAGTGTGCACTAGTGTCAATTACACAACCTTATTTACTTAGTTTACTTCCTCTTATTCCTTATACACATGTCGAGTGTAATTCACTCCTGCTGAATAGCTGGTGGAGGAAATGTCCACCAGTGGACACCACATCGACGAGAGGAAGGTGTAGTGGATTTTACACTGGGCCAAACGAAAGGTATAGTGTCCGTTGGTGTAGTTCATTCTTATCGGTTCATTCTTATCGGGTCGATGGTGTAGCGGTCTATCGCGCTTATATTCATTTATAGGCGAGTTTATGAGTCCGAGACTGCTGGGCTTCGAATCCCAGACCAGACCATGTGGATTTTTAATTAAATTGCATGGTTCGGTTTAGGATTTGATGTGTGCCGTATTAATGATAATTCAATTTCTGTTGATATGACATGCAGATTATAAAATCGCCATACATTATCGTCTCGATGATGGTGGGTGAGGTTTTCCGGGTTTTCCTCACCTGTAAGTCAAATGGCACCATCAATCATCCTTAAGTCGCCCCGGAGCGCCACGGCAAATAATAATAGCCGTCCCTTCCCCTACACAAATCGTTCAGTCGACTTCAGGGGTTCAAATTCACTCGTAAGGGGGTGAATTAGGGAGAGTATTATTATTATTATTCCTACACCAGTAGGACGAACGAAAAAACCTATTGTCTTATGTCTTCTGCAGTAGTTAGGAGGTGAGTGGAACAAATCGTAGTATAATGCTCTTATGGTGTAGAAGGAAAAAGATTGCGCGATCACCAACTATGTTAGTAATTCCTGTCCGTTTTTTATAATCGTCCACAAAATCAAGGATGCTTTTAATTTTAATTATTTTTATTATTAGTTATAAAGATAATAATAAAAAATTCAATCCACAACTGACAACACAATTATTACTATCACAGAACGATATTAAATACAAACTTGTACATAACACACAGTGATTTTAAATTCAACAACGTTGCAAACTCAAGAACCGATAGACAGATCCATAATTTTTTTTTCATGTTTTGTAATAGTGATAAAAGTTAGGTTAAATGATCAAAATATTGCAATTAATTATAATCTAAATAAAAATATCAAACCAAAAATAATTTTCCATACTTAATTTTACCTAAAATATTATAAAAAGTTAGGTACCTTAATAAACTAGTGTCAAAACTTCGAAATTCGCACCTCCAGATAGTAGGATGAAACCCCAAATCTTTCATTTTCTCCTACTACCTAGTGTGTACACACACCTATACCCTTTTGAAGCATTACAACTTATGACTTGTAAAAACACTATTTTTGTGTATTTTTTTTTAATTTGGTACCATAGGCTTCGACTACTAAGGCCATTAGCTTCGTGTTCTGTGTAGGCTTTGTTACTGTTTCCCAACGCCACTTTAGGAACAGTACTGTTAATTATAACCCAACAGTGAATGGTCGAGTGGGGAATCCTACCAAGGCATCAGAATTAATTTTAAATATTTAAATTAAATAAAAAATTCCCGGCCAACGGTGGGATTCGAACCTGGGACCCTTGGATCCACAGGCAGAGATTCTACCACTGAGCCACCCACCCCTTATTTTTGTGTATTATTAACAATAAAGAAACTAAACTAATTAGCCAAAATGTTTAGTTTATATCTATAAAAAAAATAGTTTTACTGAACACTTTCTTCGTGATTTTCCGTACGTTTTTATTTTCTTTGTCGATATCTAGCCTAGATTTTCTTTAGTCGTTTATTCAATTGACAACTTTCACGCTATCTTGCAAATATCAGTAAACTTTTAGGGGTCGTCCTTGATGATACACTAACATGGTCGTCTCATATTGCATCCCTTTGCAATTAACTAAGCAAGGTAAATTTTGCCCTGAGTCAACTTACAAAAAAACAAAAATGTTTGGGTAGCTAATTTGTAATATTTTATTTTGACACGGTACAAACATTTCGTCATTTGGATTTAATACCACTTTCTTTCATGTTTTTTATGTATACATAGTGGGTGTTTATAAGGTAAATGAACAAACGGCAACTGTGGGGAGGGCTCGGTATTACTGCATACTTGATGAGCCTCACATAATTCATAGTCGAAATACAAGGAGTTTGATCAATTTTGCCAATATCTTATTCTGGTCTTAGCACAATTTTCTATTCTGAAACCTAATAATGTTTAAGGTGCTATGAAATTCTATCGAATACAACTTTAAATTTTCTAATATAGTTTTAAAAACTAATCATTCATTAACTTTTAAGAGATCAATTTGCTTAAATCTTTAGTATGCCATAAGTATTGTATCATTAGCAGATAATGTCAAGTCAGCTGAAATATGAAATGCTAGATCTTTTACATAAATTAAAAACGGTAATGGCCCTATAATACGTAAGTCAAAGCAAATGCCAAATTTGAACAAATTATACAACAAATTCTAAGCTATGCCCAAAGTAAGATATTAGAAAAATAACTAACAAAATAATGATTTAGTTTATCTAATGTATTCAACAATAAATTCATGTTTAGGTCTAATCCTCTTCGTCGATGAAGCCGATGCATTCCTCCGCAAAAGATCGTCTGAAAACATTTCAGAAGACCTAAGAGCAACCTTAAATGCCTTCTTATACCGCACAGGTGAACAAAGTCCGAAGTTCATGTTAGTTTTAGCCTCGAATACGCCCGAACAGTTTGATTGGGCTGTTAATGATCGTTTAGATGAAATGGTGGAATTTGATTTACCTGGATTGGAAGAAAGGGAGCGTTTGATTAGGTTATATTTCCAAAAATTCGTTTTGGAACCAGCTACAGAAGGAGTTAGGTAACATAAAAAATCAGTATTTGATAGAAAAGCCATTGGTTATCTTTATCGTTATTTGTATACATTTATTTAAAAATTGCAGGAGGTTGAAAGTTGACAACTTCGACTACAGCGCACTGTGCAGCAAAATGGCGCGAATGACTGAGGGTATGTCAGGTAGAGAAATAGCAAAACTAGGAGTATCTTGGCAGGCAGCTGCTTATTCTTCTCAAGATGGAATACTCACAGAAAAAATGGTAATAGATAAAGTTATAGACCATGTCAAACAGCACAGACAGAAGGTAAGTTTTAGTAGCTGCAACAGAGTTGATAAATACTTTTTTTGTATAAATTTATTGTTACTAATTGGCGGTGACTAACGTACAAATTTATTTTAATTTCTTAGGGCAAGATTTCTTATATGCATTGTTTAGTGTGTTTCGGATAGTGTTCGAGTGCTTTTCCACAGAATTGGTAGTTTGGTGTTTCGGCCTCCACCTCTCTCAAATGCTCTTAGAGGAGGTGAGCATAGATTGTCCTATCCATCTTCCTAGGGTTTCGAGATAACAAGGAGGTCGGCTACATCAAGTTTATTTTTGTAGATGTCACTTTAATATTTAAATTTGCCGTCACATTTAAGTTGGCAACGTCCAGTCTGATCTTTGGTGATTTTCTAGTTTTGACAGATATACTTCACTTGTCAATTGTCATGAGGATTGTCACTTTTGGTGTTTTCTGTGCTAGAGTCAGGTCAGGGTGATTAAAACCATTTTTAATTATTTTGAGTTTTATTATGAAAAATACGAACGTAACTTAAAAGAAGTAATAACTACATTTTGAATGTTAACCAGCGGTGGTCTGACATCGAAATGTCATCAGACACTTGCTAGTTTAGGATTTGTTTATAGTTGTGGATAAAATAATATCTATTAGTGTTTAACTGCGAGAGTTTAAAAATGTTGATATAGTACCTTTATTTAAAATACAAAGATTTTTGGTAATTACATAATCATACAGTGACTTGCCTCTAGCTTTGTTATGATGAGGCATATCTTGTTTGTGTCAATAAATATCTGGAGATCTGCTTGTAATTTGGCGTTCCAAGTAGCTATTCACAAATTACACATTAGTCTAATTATTTTTTATGTATCATTGTTTAACGCTTATTGTTTGTTACTGTTATAATTTATCAACATTTTTTATTTTAGGTGGAGTGGCAATCTGAACAAGAGAGGAGAGAATCTAAGAGTATATACCACTCGGAAAAGGAAGATTCTTACATCCCTGCTGGTATAAAAGTCGATCCGGTAAAAAGTAAAGTACAAGAGGACATAGAAAATAACCTAAAAATTAAAGTAGAAAACAAAGTAACAGATGATGTTAAAATTGATGTTGATAGTAGTAAAAGTGAAGATTCAAGAACACCAGATGTTACAAAAGTACAAACAAGTAAACCAAAAACTGAGGATAAGAGCTAAATTTGAATGTTTTATAGTTCATGTATAGTTAAAAAATTAGGTACTAAGTCAAACGAAAATCTGTTTCTTTTTACCTCGTTTGATTTGTGCTATCTACCAAACTGATTTTTATTAAAAGGGTATAAATAAAAGTGTAATTCCTTAAAAAAATTGGCTAAATTGAAAATTGTTTTTGAAAATTATTTAATCGTCATAATGTTATGTAATTATTAACTACAGTGGATGTTGATTAATTAAGCAAAATGTAAAAGGTTTAAGAATCAAGGTAATAAAAACCGTACTATTTCCGTTTTGTGACCAATTTTACTGGTAAAAAAAAATCAATCAACGATTTAGAATAATAATTATATAATTACACAACTGATATTTGAAAGGTGGTTGGGTTGTATTTCTTTCAAATTCACATTTGACTTACTTCAAATGTCAAATTAACAATGGTTTAAGTTATATTTACAAATTGATTAGGCATTCTCCAAACAAAAGATCTGTCGTTGGTGGGAAGGGATGAAAAAACTATTAATCAAACTAACGGGTTGATAAATTTTCTGAAAGACATCGATTTTAATTTCTGGTTATTTTTCTTTAGCAAAATAATGCCAAATTGCGATATACTTTTTGACCAACTGCAGAGTAGACAGCTCGATGCTCTCAAGGTTAAGATAAACATATCAAATTTTGCAACAGCTATTCAAAATATTAGAAATAATATAGACACGAAAATTCATGAAGAATGGCAATCACAAGAACTAAACTTAAATGACAACACCCAATCAGGTCCAAGTACAAGCAAGAAGAGACGGTTTGTTGAAAAGGAGGACCCCATTCCTAATTTAAGGATATGTAAGGAAATTTGTGATACAATAGTAGTGCAGGTAAATGAACGTTTTAGTTTTACTGCTCACCTAACAATTGCAAGTTTATTTGATAGTGAAATATTTAAAGACTATCGAGGTTGTTTTCCAAATGAGGACGTTAAAACTGTGTGTAGTTTATTTCCAAACGTTAACAGCTTAAAATTAAAAAACGAATTGTCCATACTTTACACTCGAGATGACTTTGTGCAACACAATGGGGCCGTACCGTTATTACGAATGTTTTTTGAGAACAATTTGACAATTACATTTTCGGAATCTGTGGAGCTGCTAACTATCCTGTGTACAATTCCCATGACCACAGTGGAGAGTGAAAGATGTTTTTCGATACTAAAACATATTAAAACATTTTTAAGGAACACTATGTGCCAAGATAGATTGTGTGCGTTAGCCATGTTATCCATCGAAAAAAAACTTATTCATTCCATTCCAAATTTTAATAATCTGGTCATCGATCACTTCGCTAGCCAAAAGTCCAGAAGAATGGTTTTCAACTATAAGAAATAGTATACAACTGCAGCGGTACCTAGCAGTTAGTCTTCTATTTTGTAATATTTAATTTGTTTTGAAATATATTTAATTTTTCATTAAGCGGAGAACTCGTTTTCCTAAGGGAAAAACGAATCCCGGGATTCCTTTCCAGTGTGTGCCCCGCTGCCGCCAGTGCCCACGAGCCGCCACTGTGCCCTCTACACCGCTATGTCCCATAACCCAGTTCAGAGTAATCTTATGCGCTAGTTCAGTCATTGCGTTCGGTCTGCCAAGTTCCTTTAACTCCTTTAACACTTTTAACTCCAAACGACCCTTTTAGCGTTAGGTTTAGTCCGATTAGTGACAGTTTAACACGCTTAAATGTCATTTAAAAATTTGTCCCGCTCCAGCCCCTGACTGACCGAACTCGCCTAGTGATGATGTAATTATGGTTCCACTGACAATTAAAGTGACAGTAGATTTTTTGAGTGCGTTTTGTTTACATAAATTATATCGTTTTTTCACTTTTATAAATATAATCCTAAAGTAAGTAGATAACATGTTTAGTTACAAATTACATACCTTCCAACTATTTTTATGACCTGTAAACAATATTTAGAAATACATTTAAAACAGTAAAAACGTATATGTCAAATTTATTGATGTTTTTGTTGAAAGTTTGGTTAGAATTAAATGTCAGTGGAACCAAAATGACATCACACTGAACTAGCGCATTCCAGGCACTCAAGTGTTTCATTAATAACCAGGAAGTACTAGTTGCTAATACATAGTTTTCAAACAAAAGACAGATAACCAACCACCTTTTAATTATTATTGCGTATTCAATGATTAGAGTGAACAGATGACAATTCACATAGTGTAAGCTAACAAGAACACTACACAATAGCGTAATTTTAGCTATATTTTCCAAAATTGTGTAATTTATATATCCTTTTCTTTACAATAGTGAATTGCCACCATGGTTCCTTATAACTTCGAAAACGGCTGTTTAATTGAGGATTCAACAATACGAGAGTTGCATTTATTCGTTACTATTTAGACGCTCTCGAAGATTTATTATTTGTATGCTTTAAATAAACAAATATGAAATTGTGATATTTTGAATGCATCTCAAGGGAAATTTTACTACTTTCTCTGCATTCGAATAATTATGTTTTTTATCTGTTTTAAATAGATGGAAATTTTTTTACAAAAAGAAAAAATATATTAAAAAATTGAATAATAAATATACTGTTTTTCTTCACCTCAAACAGGTCATTTTTAGTATGTACGTCTTTATTTGGATAGAGATATGATAGACACGGGAGTTACGTCAGAATCGAAAGACTATTTTATGAGTATTTATTTACCTGAAATCGTAAATTAATATACAAGGGTGGCCCATTTTATACCGTTAGGATTTCACCAGCTGAGATTATTAAAAAATCTTGTTCACATGTCACCCAGCAAACATTTTCTATAACATTAGTTATAACTCGACTTTGTTTAAGACGAATTTACTTATTGAGGTAATTATTACGTAAAATTGACTAGAAAAATATACCTCTAATGTAAATTTACCAAACGGTTTTAATTTATATTTAAATTTACGTAAATTATACCAAGCAATCTACCTTTTACACAAATCTGCTTAAAAGTAACTTTAACCATATCAGCAAGGGAAAAACTACTAAAAAAAATAACCAACAATTACTTCAAAGTTAAATTTCCTTTGTAGTAAAATTAGGTGCCATATTTAGGTAATATCTACCTGTTTGGCAACTAAAAATCGTCTTTATAGTAGAATATTCAACTAGGTAGATTTGGTTAAAAATTCTACGTAATTTTATGCCTCCATAGTAACCTATTTGGCCGCTTTTATTTACTCTCCTTTAAAGTAATATTAGGTCGAGATCGTAGCAAAATTCTACCTGTTTATCTACCTAATTTAAACCAAATAGTCGAATACTCATTTAGTTGACCTATAAGTCATCTTGAAGAAATATTTATTAACTTTGTTGTAGCAATTACCTGAAAAATTTACCACAAAGTAAATTAGACTAAAAACCACCAATTTAAAAAAAGTCATACATGACCTATTTGTAAAATTTATATTATTTAGGTTATTTTAACAATTAGGTTGTTCAGTTACTGTCTTCGTCATTATTCTTAAGAATTTCGGCCATTTTAAAAAAACCATTACAGTCGTAATCTTAATTTACGTGTGGTGTAGATAGAGCTTTAAATGAATGCGAAAAATAATTAATAAAATGAGTTCGAAAAATAATAAATCATATCGTTATACTTCCGATTTTTATCGTAAAGTGAGACGTCTAAAATCTCAAGTGACCTAAATATGTTATATTTACCTATAGGTAAATTTTTTATAAAACCTATAAGTTATTATTTCTTTAAATAGGTAAAGTTAACTAATATGTCGTGAAATTGAAGTTAATTCAACTTAGTAAAAACGTATTTGTAAAATATGTAGATTTCCTTAGTCATAATAACTTTTAGGTCGAATTCGCACAATACGCCATATTTTCTTAACGTAATTGAAGTACGATTCCAAATTTTAAATTTTTTAAATGACCATAACTAAAACATACGAATGAAAATACCGAAAAACGAAACATTATTGATTTTCTAAAGTGATACACAACAAACGTAACATAGTTTTAGCTCATAATATTATTATTATTTTTTTATACGATCATATTTTTTTCTTATATTTTTTTAATTAGAGAGTATTTTGGAAGGGCATTGTTATTTTTCTAAGTAGAACTGTTAACATGCACGACAAAATTTTCTTCGCATTAATTTCAACAAGCGTGAACTGTATATTCACCGCAATTACATTACATATATTTTTGTCACCGACATTTATTTATTTTCAATCTTTCAGGTCAATTAGGTATATGTTTTAGTTGTGTTGGTTACTTCTTACAATATTTCTACTTATATATAGATAAAAATACCAAATAAGTATGAAATTTCTTTTCGTACACTTGGAAGCATACGTCATCTGCAAATATTTTGGTAGTTTCTACCTAAACTTAGTTAAATCAACGTCGAATTAACGTTATACTGACGTCAAATTTCCCTAGAAAGGTATTACTAACCAAACGTACTGGGCTACTACAATGTGGATTTAGATGTAATTCTACCTATTTTGGTAAATAAAACCAAATTTCGACGTCGTCTTATTCTCCACTTATGTCGAATCCACGTCGAGCCAACGTAAATTTTACTTAATTATGGTTAAATCTAATTTTGCGACCAAATTTATTATACAGTGTGGAAACCACTTATGGAATAAAATTCTTTATGTCATTATTTTAGAAAATTGTAAAAAATGCCGAGACACGTGAACTTTTGAATTGAGTTGTGCGTTATGTAAACATAAATTTAAATGTACAGGGTGATTCACGCAAGTATGCCATAGTCGGTGTTGTTTTTTTTTTAACGAAACACCCTGTATATTTGCATATTTTTTGAAATCCTCTTAATGAACCGATTCCAACAAACTGAATAATGTATGTATTATTAGGTCAACAGAAACTGCTACTACTGCCTTTTTTAATTATGTCCACAATCAGCTGGATAGAACAAGGTTAGTAGGTGCGCTCTTTTTTGATCATCTAAAGCTTTTGACACCATTGATATCTCAATTATTATTGGAAATTAAGTGCTTTAGGTTTTAGGGGTAACTTTTTGAAATGGATTAATTTATATATAGATTCTCGTAAACTGTCTGTTAGAATCAATGGTTGCTTATCAGGAGTAAAGGACAAGGATCGTGGTGTTCCTCACGAATCAGTATTAGGTCCACTCATATTTCTCCTTTACATAAACGACTTGCCTAACTTCATATCATCCGGTCACATTTCAATATATGTAGATGATACCAATGTTGCTGTCGATGCAGAATCACCTGAGAAACGTCATTCCAAATTGTCTCTTGTTGCTAGAGAAGTTATTGCATGGTGTAAAAGAAATGCATTAATTTTTAACTCCAACAGTACTCGTTCAGTTCCATTCTAGATCAAGAATAAGTAAGTACGCCACTGGACGATAACTATAAATAACGATTTATTAGTTTATTTTATCTTAAAGTGACGATGAATTATCTTTGATGGTTTTTTTACACAAATGTATATATTTTTATCATTAATTTTAATTATCAAAGTTTGTTTCAACCACAAATTTTGACGAAAATTATTATTTCACATTAAAGATTAGAACGTAAGCTTCATTTGGATATAAAATTTATTATTTTCTGTTAATTTTTTCTACCGAAATTTGGTTTAAAATACACAGCACATGTTTTCCGACCTTACTTAATCATACCTATTCCAATAAGCCCTTCATTTCTATTTTACCCGTTTACACCTGGATCAAGTGAATTTTCTATTTATATCTTTTTTATTTTTCTGATTTCTCTAATTGACGATGGACAAACATTTTGTAATAAAAAACAAGTATAAAGCGATATTATATTTATTATATAACATTTTATTTATAGTCTTTCAAATTTTCAGTCCAATAAGTAGGGTTTCTAAACTAATAGCATTGAAAAATAAACAACTAAAACATTCATAAAAAGACTGCAGTCATATAAAATAGAAAGCCCTTTCGAAACAAAAATTTAATTAAAAATCGGACATCTTTCACTGTCCTTATTTATTTAAAATGTTATCTGTTTAATATGCATAACCCAAAAATATCCTGGTGATTTATAAAATGAAAGCAGTCTGCGGTTCATCTAGTATCTCACAAAGAAAGTCATTATTATTTATACTAAAATAACGGCATACAATTCTGTAGAGACTGTTGATTTGAAGATTGGATCTGAGATGACTGAACGACGGCCATGGCCATAGATACTGGTGTGCTTGGAGGATGATATGGTACCTGTAAAATATAAAACAATTAGAAAACAAATTTGAGTGTAAGTAAACAATGGATCAATTTTGTAGATTTGAAGGAATTCTTACAAGGGATGTTTCCAAAGTCTGGGAATTCAGCTATAATTTTTATTATTTTGTTAATTTTCGTTAATATTACAATGTAACATAAGCTTCATTTAACTGCATACATTTATCCCAACGATAAACTAATTTTTTTAAGCCGTCCTCGAAGAACTTTTTCAGTGTCTCCTCAATCCACCTATGGCAAGTTTTTCGTCAGTTAAACTTTCAAATCGAACACCCCTTAAAGGTTTTTCAAATCTGGGAACAGATGATAATCACTGGATGCAAGATCCGGTGAATAAGGTGGGTACGGAAGCAATTCCCACCGTAAATCATTCAAAACAGCCTTGGTTTTTCTTGCGGTGTGTGGTCTTGCAATATCCTGTTGCAATAACGGACGCTTATGCAACTTTCCAGTTCGTTTTTTGACAAGTGCCTGTCGCAGCAGTGGTTCAGATAATAAATTCGAATCTGCGTTAATTGAAGAATGGAAGTACCAAAGGCACTAAGTACCAAATTCACAAATTTTAATTTTAAACAAGTATACCTTTTCTACCTTTTACGTGCTACCTTATTAGAATTCACATAAGCTTAGAAATTATATGACACTTAGAACTTTTGTGACGATATTGATAATGATATTTACAATCTTCTTAAGCACATACCCAGAATATTAAGATTTTGGCACTTAGTGCCTTTGGTACTTCTACTCTTCAATTGTTGTACCTTTCGCCAGATAATCCATAAAAATAATTCCTTTGCAAACCCAGAATACAGTACTTTTCCAACAGACGGAACTGCACTCGCCTTAAGTGGAGGCCCTTTTTCAGGTTTGCGCCATTCTTTGGGTCCCAGGATTGAAATAAGGAATTCACGTTTCGTCAGTAGTTATTATTCGTTGCCAAAATTCATCACCGTAACGGGCTAACAGCTCTACAAGTTGACTACAAGTATCAGACCTATTGAGTTTCTGTTCTGGTCCCAACAGCCTTGGCACCCAGCGCGCCGAAACCTTGCTAACGCCCAAACTTTTAATCTTGAGTGATGAAAATGCAAGAGGTCTCATTCAAGTAGTTAAACACATTACCAACAGCCACTACGATATTAACTGTCAATGGTCAGTAAAATCTTCATTTGAGGACCGTATAAAAATGTGCCTTAGGTACATTTCAAATTTTAATAACCAAAACCTCAATTAAGTGGTGACCAAACTACTATATACTATCAAAATGTTAATGGACTACGAACGAAATCAGCTGATATTTTGAATAGTGTATATTCTTGTAACTATGGCATTATCCTTTTGAGTGAAACTTGGCTTAATGAACAGTTCTGAATTTTTTGGCGATAGATATGTTGTATTCAGGAAGGACAGAAATTATGCCCTGCTTAGTTGCAGCCGAGGAGGTGGAACTTTAATAGCAACTTTACCTCATGTTACAACTGACAAGATTGATACTCAAACATCTACGCAATATGATGATGATATTTGGGTTAAGGCTAAAATAAACAATATCGACACGATAATTGGATGTGTGTATATTCCTCCAAACTCGTCATTAGAAACCTATTTATCTTTTTGCGATTTATGCGAATCTCTAAAAAGCGCAAAGTTAAAAATCATAAATTCATAATATGTGGTGACTTCATTCTTCCATATGTCCAATGGGAAATTGTTCCAACTAGAATTCAACCTGCTACCGCCGAGGCTTTGATTAATACAATGTGTTTCCATGAACTCAATCAAATAAACTATGTTTTCAATTCGCTCCAACGGATACATCCTATATTTGTGGACGAGTTTGAATCAATTACATGCAAATCTAGCGATTTTTTACTGGTGAAAATTGATCCTCTACATCCCCCACTTTTGTTAACTTCATGAATAAAAAACCTCGCTTACTTAGAGATAATAAACCAGTTAATATACATCAGTTCTATAAAGCCAACTTCACTGGTCTAAACAATTTCTTTATAAACACTGACTGGTCATTCATAACTCATTACCATGAGATCAACCAAATTGTGAAACAATTTTCCAACATCATATAAATAGGTATCGACCAATATGTCCCAAAGAAGAAGACACGAGGTAACAAATATCCTGTGTGGTAATTTGTGTTATAGCCGTCTCTATCTAACTTTTTCATGAGAGCATCCAATCGGAATTTTGCCATCTCGAAATTAGTAGGCAAAGGTGGATGACCTTCTATAAAAGGGAGAGCGACTCTATTACGTCCATCTTCATCTCTTGAAACAGTATCAGAGAAAGATTAAAAAACAGATGCTTCGTGTTCCTCTTTAGATAGTACCTCAATAGGATCGTTTATACCAATAAGAACTAGATTCCACATATCAGAAAGAGAGAGAGAGAGATTTATTGAACATCGAAACAGAAGGATGAAGATATTGAGAATGAAAACAGTTCGGGACTTTTCACATAATAGTCCATCCTAAAGGTGTTTGAAAAGCAACTAATCCATATGTTAATCGATGACTAGGACCTGACAAGAAAAAACCAGCCAAATCAACTCCAATAAGGAGTTCAATCGGACCACCCTTTGTATCAGATAACTTTATATTTAGAGTTTGCACTTAATTCCACAAAACATAAAACCTTTTTGGACATTTATTAAAAGTTTGCAGCGAGAGTACGGATTGCCTAATTTAATGAAGTGCGGAAACTATGAACTCAGTGATCCTAAAGAAATTGCAAACGCCTTCGCATCTTATTTCCAAACGTGCTATTCTACAGACGACTTAAACCGAAAAATTGATCTTCCCGCTGTGCCATTTTATTTCACTTTAGCCATACACACTTTCACTCCCTGTGAAGCATCTTCTAAAATAAAGTCTTAACTCTAGTAAAATGGCGGGTCCTGATGGGATACCACCGTCGTTCTTGAAGGGGAGCTGTGACTCAATCCCACTTAACCAAATTTTCCAAAAATCATTTGATAGTAGAATATTTCCATCTGCTTGGAAGTTTTCCTATCCTATGCCAGTTTACAAGAAAGGTGATAAAAGCGATATAAAGAATTACAGAGGTATTTCCATTATATCGATAATTCCAAAACTATTTGAATCCATACTAACAGATGAAATGTTTTACACGTATTTAAACTATATCTCACCTCAACAACATGACATCTATCAAGGTCGCTCGACATCAACTATTCTAGCAATCTATCAAGACTTCTTAATTTCATCAATTGAAAATGGTTACCACCGATCTGTCAAAAGCTTTTGACAGTGTCTGTCATGAATTGCTACTCAAGAAACTCTACGAAATCGGTATCTCTGGTTATTATTTTTACTGGATTAAATCTTATTTGAGTAATCGGTATCAACGTGCCATAGTACATAATTCTGTATCATGTGACGTTTCAGTCTTATCCGGTGTTCCTCAAGGTTCACATATAGGTCTCCTATTGTTTTCCTTATTCTTTAATGATGTTATATCCTGCTTTCTTAATAGCTAATGCATTCTTTTCGCGGATGATTTAAAGTTTTATAGTAAAAACACTGGTAATAACTCCGCATTACAGTCTGACCTAAACAGGTTTGCTACCTGGTGTAAAAATAAATAAATATTTCTAAGTGCACAACCATGCATTTTACAAGATCCCACAATAATACTCTTACTGTTACAGTATTGCCAGCGTCAAACTAGATAGATCCTCGACAGTTATTGATCTGGGCATTACTTTTGATACCAAAATATCTTTTAACAATCATATAGATTCCATAGTATGCAAAATCCTCAGAATGATTGGCTTCATCAAGAGACATACTAGGTACGTGAATGACACAAAAGCAACCATGACACTTTACAATGACCTGGTGAGAAGTGTCTTGGAATACTTTTTGTTATTTGGCTTACACCTGTCATATTAATAGAATTGAAAGGGTACAACGTAAATTCGTAAAATAACTGCGTTTTAAACACCGATTTCATAGCCATGTTATTAAACAAGATTATTGCTTTATTTATTGAAGAAAACAGGCTTTACTCCTATTCCTGGCTAAATTAATAGGTGGTTCTATCAAGTGCGGGTCACTGCTTGAGAGAGTTCAACTATTGGTTCCTGTCCGACAAACTCAGCACACTTTTGAACCAATTACGGACAAAGTGCATTTATTGATCGCTTATACAAGAACCATAACAAATTTTACTCAGACTGTAATATATTTAATTGTAATATTTTGGCGCTGAAAAGGGACTTACAACTCCTGAATGTCTAAGTTTTACTCGTATCGTCCCGCGGTGTTGTGTTATTCTTCTTTTCTTTTAATATTTTATATATTTTTTTAATTTATTTTATATTGTTTTTAACTCCTACAATGGTTTGTGTTAGGTTAGATATACTGTACTATTTGGAATTTTAAATTCTGTAAGTGATACATAAATAAACAATCATACAATATGTCATGAGCTTGTTGTGTACCTATCCCTAAGCGGACACTAATTTGACGAATAGTCATTCCCCTGTCCTCTTTCAGTAGGTCTTCGACGGCAGTCATGTTTCTTTCATTTACCGACGTGCCTGGGCACCCACTGCGTGGATCGTCTTCTAGTGATGTTCTACCAGTATTTAAAACGATCGATCCACCAATAAACAGTACTTCTGGATTCTGCAGACTCACCAAATACTCCTTGCAGACGCTGAATAATTTCTGATGTTTTCACACCTTCTTTCCAGTAAATTATTGCTCTTTGAGATTTTGCTGCGTCTCCCATGGTTACAAAAACAGTGCTATGAAAACGCGTCTATATCAGTCGAACACCTAAAATAGACTGAACAATATTGCACTAGATAGTTGCATAAATATGTCAAGACTTGTCTGGTAATTTAATTATAGCACAATTCCCAGAACTTCCCTCGTAGATTATTTAAAGTCATTTTAGAACCAGAATTATTACTAATTATTGTAAGTTCACTGACAAAATCTATTTTTATATAGTCGATAAAAAAATTCATAAGCAATGTATTTATTTTAAAACAAAAAATGGTTTATTTTTCTTTTCTTTTCACAACTGGTGACATAATGAAATTTTCTCAAGCAGTTTATGTAACTAGTTGTTCGTCATTGCACCAGATCAATCATGGTTTGCTCTGGTTTTATGCAGACGTTAAAAAAACAACACACTTCGATGCTATATCTTTGGGAACCCTAGTTATTATTAAAGATAAAGCTGTCAGCTTGTCACCAATTGCGCCAAAATAGAGCCATCAATCACGCTCAGTGTAAAAATAAAAATGGAAATATCTACTCTGTTGGTAAAATGGGCAAAACTTACTGAAGAATTATGATGGAATCTGGGATCCAACATCATAGCTGCAGCTACCGCGGCCGCAGTAGATGTAGCAGTGGAAGGATTAGACCTTGCAGTAGCCGTGGTCAGCATATGATGATTTACGATGGCATTATTGGTTTGCTGTGTGTTATTACCAGCAGTACCTGATCGATGAGTTATATTATTTGCATTTGCCAGTTGTGCGTGTGCGGTATGGGCTTGATGGAAATCGCTAGCATCACTTGCGCCAAAATGATGATAGGTTGAGTTTAATACTGTTAAATTGGTAGCTGAAAAACAAAAACAATGTTAAAAAATTCGAATATATAAATATTAGAGTACTTACCAGTTGACGTAGAATGACTCTGATGTTGCATAATTAATTCATGAATATCCGAACTCACTTCCTGATTCGACGGGGCTACAGACGTACTATTTGTATGAGTAAAATTATTACTATTTGTGTTCGATGTAGTTGATGAAATATCTTGATTGGTCTATAAAAAATAATAATATGAAAGAGAATTGTTTATTTGCAAATATAAAGTATTGGAAATATATTAATTGCATTAAAGAAATTCCTCAACACACGTATGCTTCTATAGTGTCCTCATCCTCAAGTCAACCAAATAAATCATTATCACAGCCTTCCTTTGTTAATGTAAACTCAGTTGCCAGCACAGCTCCTTCACCAATTAATATTGCACTCGCACTTCTAAATTCAGATCATTCTCATAACCTATAAATTCACCGAAAATTAATAAAAGACCCCGTATTATCACTTCTAACCCTATTTCTTCAGCTCACAAAGAAATTATATCTAATATTAATATTCTAAGAAGTCATGGAGGAACCCTTTCCTCTCCTAAATATAAATCTACATTAAGTTCATCAAATATAAAGGAAAAATTGACAAGTGATAATATGTTCCAAATTATTTTACAAGTTGTTTTATCTACTATTGAAATTATTAAAAGTACAAATTTCGAAATTCAAGAATCTACTATTTTATATGTAATTAAACAAAATTTATCAAGTTCTATAGGAAAGACTCTTGAATTCGATGGCTAGTACTGGTATTACATTGTGTCAGTGGAATTGTAGATCAGCTGTTTCAAATAAAGAAAACCTTATGTACCTACTAAATGAACAAAAAATTGATATTGCTTGTATTTCTGAAACGTATTTTAAACCTCAAATAATCTACAAATTTAAAAATTACAATATCTTAAGAGACGATCGTGTGGATCGTCTTGGAGGAGGAACACCGATTTTAGTTAAATCCAACATATTTTATGATGAAATTTTCATTAAATACTACTTAGCGAATCAAAAATCAATTTTATTAAAATATAGCAATATTAAAATTACAATTGTATCCTTATATATACCACCAATAACGAAAATTTCATTAAAAGAGTGGTGTTCATTCTTTGAATCAATTCCTAGACCATGTATAATAACAGGAGATCTAAATTCTCATAACATAGCTTGGGAAGGTCCATCGACTGATACATATGGTAAAATTTTGTTAGAAGCTTTAGACCAAAATAATCTTAGTTTTATAAATGACGGATCACCAACGTTTTTGGGAAATCTACAGACCATACCTTCAGCTATTGATTTGACAATGGGAAACTCTAAATGACTTATATGGTTCGAATCACCTTCCCACTCTTACTTCAATCTCAATCACTCCTAAAAATATAATTACTCAGACTACCAGAAAATGGAAGAGGGCTATTGGAATTCGTTTTATTTAGAAACACAAAAATTGTTCCACGGAAATATTAATCTTAATTATGAAGAATTTATTCAAAACATAGATATGGCTGCTGAGAAGTCAAATCCCAAATTTATTAAAAGTAACTCTTCATCTAGAAATAAATTCTGGTGGAACCAAAAATGTGATGAAGTGATAGATAACAGAAAAAGCTTTTATAAACTTCCAGACAAATCTAACTTTCTCAAATATTATAGAATACAAAAGATTAGATGCCATGCAAAAAAGACAATAAAACAAGTCAAAAGGGAAAGTTGGAAAAATTATTGTCTATCTCTGAACCAACATTCTCCTATTAAGGAAGTTTGGCAAAAAGTTCGTTCATTAAAAAATCAAAATTCTTCAACGATTCCTCCAGTAGACATCGAAACAGCTGAGTGGATACCAGAATTTCATTTGAAACTAACCCCGCCATTCGTTGTCCCATTCCCTTCTAATGATTCAGCATTGGAAAATAAATCCCTAGCCACTTCAACCGAAAACTCCAAAAACTTATTAACACCATTCTCTTATAATGAATTAGAATTGACATTAACGAAAACAAAGAACTCGTCTCTAGGTTTAGACAATATTCATTATACAATGCTGAGTAACCTCCCTAAGATTGCTAAACAACAACTATTAAATACCTTAAACAAAATATGGGCTAATAAACTGGACATTCCAAAATCTTGGTCTGATTATATTATTTTACCCATACTCAAACCAAACAAAATTCCAACTAATGCAGATTCATATAGACCAATAAATAATAGCACTATCATCTTGTGTTTTAAAAACGTATGAAAAAATGATCAAACTTGGACAGAGACATTGGATGGAACACAATAATATGTTTCCAAACTCACAATTTGGCTTCAAGAGAAACAAGTCTACTCAAGAAAGTATTGCAACCATAACAACTGACATACAAATTGGATTTTCCCAACAAATTTCTACAACTGCTCTGTTTTAGATATTAAAGGAGCTTATGATAATGTCAATCTAGAAATATTGATTCAAAAAATGACATCATTGGGGATCCCTCACTTAATCTCCTTACATATTTATAAACTATATACAAGACGAAAGTTATTGATTAGAATAAATAATGAATTTATAGGACCTAAAGAAACTTCATTTGGTCTTCCTCAAGGAAGTATTTTAAGTCCACTTTTATACCTTATTTATACACAAGATTTGGAACGACATATATCTATTCCTACAAAAATTCTTCAATTTGCTGATGATATTGTTTTGTATATTGATTCTAGTATTTATCAACTCTCATTAGGTGTAGAAGACATACAGAAATGGTTGTTTGAAAATGGTCTAACAATTTCAGAAAACAAATCAGCGGTAGATTGCTTTACAAGGAAAAGAACTCAACTTTCAAATGTTGGTAAATAAATAATCAATTAACTAGTTAATCACTACTACTAGAGGAAAACGGCCAAATACAGTAAGTATAGAATCTAAAGTAAAACAACGTTTCAGAGGTAGTAAAAAATAATCCAAGAGGTATGGGGTGGGCGATTACAATACCAGAGCATTATAAACCTCTATAGCTATAGGAAAAGGCAGCTGGAGGCAGTGTAGGAAATAGTGACCTGTCGCTTCCTTTCCTAATTTATCTCTGTTATGAATAAAAAAAAACTTACTGCACGGGATTTAGCCGCACTTCCGTTTGTCCTTAATGGCCTTGCTTTATATGGAACTTTGGCCGATGCGTTTTCTCCATGATGTCTAGTGTAGTGTTCCTTTAATTTATCCCTTCTTGAACTGGCATAGTCACAATGGGAACATTTAAATGGTTTCTCTTCTAAATGGATTCGTTCGTGACGTACTAAATGAGATTTTTCCATAAAACCTCGTCCGCAAACGCCACAAGTATGAGGCCTTGCACCGTTATGACTTTTTGCATGGCTTAATAATTGAGCTTTCTTCGATGTTGTATATTTGCAATGAGGGTAGGAACATCGATGAAGTTCAGCTAAAGTATAAAAAAATATTATTTACAAGCGTTTCTAATATTGAATGTATTCAACATACCCGCGTGAATTCTCTTATGCGCTATCATATGGCTAACAAACTTAGTATGGAACCCACAAGAATCACACGACAAATTCTTCTCAGACGTGTGACTCAAAAGGTGTGCCTCAAGGCTTTGTCCAAATTGAAACGTTTTTGCACAGTACTCACATTTGAACACATCAGGCGTGTGCAATTTCATGTGTCAGATGAAATTTTGCTTCAGGCGACATTTGAATGAACAAAATGTACATTGGTAGATGTTTTCGTCAAAATGTTGCGCTCGGTGCGATATTAATTTTGATATTTGGTCCACACTAAATTCACCTTAAAAAATATTTTCAATTAAATATTGTCAAACAGTAACATAGCAGCATTAAGAAAGACAGCAGAGAAACTTATTTCTTGGAACTATCCCCTTCAGTGTAAAACCATTCGAGTAGTGGATGTGATATTCTTATATCGAAATAATTAATTTTGATACATAAACGGGTTGTGTCTTTGATTGCATTTCTAACAAAAGAAATGTTTGTATAAAAGGACATTTTTAAGCATCCTATTGATACTAGAAAGTATGTGCATTTGTTAACAGAACAAAGATGTCTGGGTTTGAAGCTCGGCAGTAACGGCTTTTTTTTTTTCAAATAATTCGTAGGGGACTTTTTGAGATTTGTTACCGAATTATCAATATAATTTCAAAAAGAAATATAATTAAACCTATATTTTTAACAGACTTCAAAAAAGGAGGAGGTTCTCAACTCGTCGGAATATTTTTTTTTATGTTTAGCGATAATTCTTTAACACGTCCGATATTAATGATTCTTTTTTTTTTGTTAGAAAGGGTGGACTTCAGGGGTGGTCCCATATACATTTGGTCAAGATCTAATTATTGGGTCCATGAGTATTCACGAGAGAAGAACCCAGCTGAAGTTGCAACAATGACAGTCACAGAAACCAAATTATGACTTATTTACCTACGTCGCTTAAACTACAGGGTCACGCCACTGGCGTAGAACGAATATTTTTATGCCAATAGTCTTTCATTTATTTGTTAGTGTTTGACATTTAAGGTTATGTATAAAATTTTATCTGTAAAACAAATATTGCTAAATTTTGTCAGTAGTTTGTAGCATTGAGATTGTTATAAAGTCTTTAGAAAAGTAGTATTCTAATTTAAAAATAATTGAATGCTACTAAAAAGTATTCGACTTATATGATTTTGCCTGTAAAGAAAATATTTATTTTATACAATGAAAAACTACGTCTTTTGGTATATTTGCAAGACAAGCTTATAGTGTTACATTTCTTTAATTCGTAAAATATATATCCTGATCGAGTCTTTTTAATATACGCAACCTCTATTTTCCTTGAGAAAAAAATTAGAATAAATTTTGATAAAATACAGATATTTATTACTACCTATATGTATATCATTTTATTGAAATGTGATCTTATTTGTTTTTAGCCATAATTTAATTTCAAACGGGACATTGTATCAGTTAGCAACTAACTTGTTTAGGGACTAGGAGTATTTCCACAACCATACAATGTAAATATTGCTTATTTTTAATACCTATATTTTTAAATTGCAGAGAACGAACTCTAAAAGCAACTGGTGCGAGTAAAAGCACTTACACCAGAATTAAAAAGGAAGCTTTAGATAATAAAATGGGAGATTCTACTTCGTTTGGATCGCCTCGAAAAAAGAGACCGAGGAAAAAATCAGTACTGGAAGCACTAAAACTTGAGGAACTGGAAAGGATTCGGGAGATGGTTTATGATTTTTACATCCTGGAGAAAAGGGCTTCTAGTTTAAAATGCAAGTTTAATAGAAATAAGTTATTTTTGTATTAAGGTAGTTCACTCGTAAAACGGCTTTTCTTAAGAATTCAATAAAATTTAAATATATGGTTTATGAAAGTGTCGTTTGCGTAACTAAAAAAAATTAGATTTTTTAACCATCTGTGGAACGAGATATTAACAATCAAAATGTGCATAATTAACACTCTTGAAGCCTATCATGTACACAAGCAATGCATTTATTTCAAGATATCTCGGAAACGGTTCTTACCATATTTTTTAAAAACTAATGTTAAATAAATCAAGAAGTTATCAAATTTAATAGATAATCGCTAATTTTTTTGACTATCTTAGTAAAAAGATATAGATTTTTAAAATAAAAATATTTTTAAAGCAGTTGACGAGTAGTTTCGTAAAATTATTACAACTTGGCAACATTGTAGGCACTTCACGTATCAAAGTAACACTCGATCAGCTAGGAGGTTGTTATAAACTCGCGACGTGTTTTTGAAAAATTAATTCGTCCACTGTGTTTGAGAACTGGAATCAGCGGTTCTGTTTGAACCAAAACAAACCCTTAAAATTAGTATGAGGAAGTCACAAATTTCTATACCATATCGTTTAAATATTTGCGAGTTTGCCGGGTGAAATTGATAAAAATTATAACTTGTCCATATGTGTTTATATACATGTGTTTTGTACAGTCTCTTACAAAAATAAAATTGATTAGCATTGAGAATCTCGAACTTTTGGTATTCACCATTACGCGATATTTTTATGTACGACTGTCGCGAGTGAACTACCTTAAGTGTCTGAAACTTAGATTAAAGAGACCGAAGATGTAACATTGCACACTGCGCATGTTGTCTATTTTAAGCCAAAGTAACCCACCAATTGAAAATCATTGTTGCACGACGCCACCCGAATTGCTCCGATTTCCATTCAGCGATCACCTCCACCTGAGTTTAATCACCATTGACAGCTGTTTTTTGATTTATTTGTTGGTATTTTAGCAATTTAAAGTGTTCTAGTTATTCAATTTCAAGTTCAAAATGTCACGATGTATCTTGAAAAATTGTATGTACTTATAATATAAGTACTACTGTTATGAATATATTCGTTTTCAGCGGTAAATATTTATTAACTTTTTGACATAAAGCGCCATGATTATCTGGGCTGAATACTTCAGATCCGCATTAAGGGGTTTCAATAAATATTAAGCATCAGAAATCAGATTTCATATTACTTACATAAATTTACAAAAGGGTAAAATTTTGAACATTTAATTTAAATAAATAGTAAATAGACATTATTGCTAACGAAATTTTGTATTTAAAAAGTAGTTTTATAAGAATGTTTTCTAAAGGTAGTTTTTAGCCCTTTTTGGTAAATAAATAAGAGGTAAAGAATCATAGTTGCTAGCTAAATTTTATTTTTATAAGGTATTTTTATAAGGTATTTTTATAAGAATATTAGATGAAATACAGGATGACCTACTTAAAATTTCAAGGTTCATCTTATTTGCGGTCAAATCGAAAGTGACTGTGAATTTTCAGTCTTAAAACAAAGTAATCTAGTATAAGCCCAAAAAAAATACTATAGTTACAGGAGTTAGGTCCGATTCCACCGTTGTGTTAAACGGAGATTAAAATGACAGTGTTAATGTAAAAATGTCATTTTAAACTTCGTTTAACACAACGGTGGAATCGACCCTTAGTCACGTTAATAAAATGTTACATTACAAACGCCTAAATAACTCGAACATAATTTTCGTTTACTAAAAAAAATCCAAAATTTAGCAATATTTATTTATTATACAATCGAATGCGATTTCAAAGATAACTGGATCAAAAAATCCGAATCTCTAAATTTTGGAGCTAAATGCTCAGATAAAAGCAAGCGTCCGATAGGGGTTACAAAAATAATCGATTTATCGATAATTCTGATATTTTTTAATGAAAATCGATTTATCCGCTGTTTTTAATAAATTATTTTCGTTTTTTTTAAGATAATGTATTAATCGATTTTAAAGGAAATACAAAAATAGTAGATTTATTCAAAATAATCGATTTATCGTTTAATCGGTTTTTTAATTATTTGATTATTTTCGATTTTTCGAAGATATTATATGAAAATAATCGATTGAATATAATCGGTTATTTTACATAATCGATATTTTTGTTATTTTTTTAAAATTATCGATTTATTGGATAATCAGCTTTTTAATAATCAATTATTTTCGATAATCGAATAATCAATTTCAAAGGAAATATGAAAAAAGGATTATAGAAAATAATAGATAATTCGTTTTATTTTTTGGAAAATCGATTTATCATAGAATCGGCTTCTTAATTAATTGGTTATTTTCGATTAGGCGATTATTTTGGAATTATTGATTATTTTTGGTATTTCAAAGATAATCGAATTATCGATTTTAAAGGAAATACAATAAAAATAGATAATTGATAATAATCGATTGATCGAAAATAATCGATTATTTAAAATAATCGATCATTCTGTTTTTTTTTAAATTGATTTGTCAGTTAATCGACTTTTTAGTTAATCGATTATTTTTGAAATACAATAAAATAGATTATTGGTAATAATCGATTTATCATAGAATCGGCTTCTTAATTAATTGATTATTTTCGATTAGGCGATTATTTTGGAATTATCGATTATTTTCGGTATTTCAAAGATAATCGAATTAACGATTTTAAAGGAAATACAATAAAAATAGATTATTGATAATAATCGATTGATCGAAAATAATCAATTATTTAAAATAATCGATTATTCTGTTTTTTTTTTAATCGATTTATCAGTTAATCGACTTTTTAATTAATAGATTATTTTTGATTAATCGATTATTTTCGATTTTTCAAAGATAATCAAGTAGTCGATTTTAAAGGAAATGACAAAAAATATATTGTTTGAAAATAATCGATTGATCGAAAATAATCGATTATTTTCAATGATCGATAATTTATTTCGATAATCACTTATCCCTAGCGACCAAATGACTTTTAATAGATTTAAATTTTAAAATGTTATCTGGTTTCAGACATATGCATTTCTAGAGTTTTATGTGACTCATCCTTTATAATAATTAATATTCCTAAAGAAAGAAGCCTTAATATACCTTTTTCTGAGGTTATAATACAAAACAGCATTTTCTCATTTTGACTAATTTTTATTATTATGTAATAGCCGTAGAAAAAATATAATGTTCAACTCATAAGGGTAGATTTGCAGTATTAGCCTGCGCACATGCTATTTTTATAATACTCGTAGACAATGAGTAACATTTTTGGCTCTATTAACAATATATTCTATTTCAACATTTTACTGTAATCTCTTGCAGAAAAGTCCGTAGTAAATAAACGCTAACGAAATATTCTA